GGAGAATATGGGCGAATTCCATGACCTTAAGGTCTTGCATTTCTCTCCTGAATACCACTTATATAAAGCAATGTCTTGTTTTCAGATTCTCGTGTGTTCTGACAATGCACAGCAGTTTTCTTGTAAGAATTAGAACGAACATCTCCAATTTGCCAGTTGAAAAGCTACAGTTCTGAAAAGATGTTCCTGAAAAGAGGACACCATTGATTCTAATTCTCCTAATTTTGTCATGAAGGTGTCAAATTATGACATTTAAATGGTATAAAACTAAGTATACATTCATAGGAACACTGACAAACAATTAAGCATCATTAAAGCAGGGCAATCATAATCATGTATGTACACTATTCAATAAATGCATAAAATAAGGGAAAGCAGTACTACATAAAATTTACCATACATCAAATTATGCATCAATGAATGCACATGCAGTACAGTTTGATAAGGAACCAAGGAACTCAATTTTGGTAGTGCCAACCAAATTTCATTTCACATAATTATAAAATATCAAATTTGAAATCCAGTCTAAATACATTCTAAGGTTGTTATTGACTTGTTTTATACATGTTACCTACTGTAGAACAGTTTTCCAACTGATACCAAGCCTTTTTGAAAACAGCTGAAATTCTCACCCACATGGGGCACCCAAATTACCTCCCTTTATGCACTCCAGATGAAATTAAAATAAAATCATTATGAACAAGTTTCAGTGTGCTTTTTATGTATTTATAGCAATTATGAATAGGATTTAACTTAATCAAACATAGTTAAGCACATTTTAAATAGATTAATATTTTTTAATGTGCTTTATATATCACAATTAGTTTTTTGAATTTCATTAAATTCCTTCTGATAAACAAATCATGGTGTATTTGGACCAATTCTGCTCTCAAATTAGGAAGAAAGGGAGGTAGTTTGAAACAATTAAAACCTCAATAAGTCTTAAATTTGCTTGAATAAAGTTGCAATTGAAACTGAATCAAGTAGTTTGTTCTTCTGTGAATTTAGATAACTGAAAAGCAGATTGGTACTACATATATGTAGTGTGATATGATGTCATGGTAACGGCTGATGTCATCAGTACTATGAATTCATCAATTCAACTTCAAGTGTAATATTAGAAACTCTATGACATTCCAATATTGTTCGAAAAATTGTATTTTTTACAGCTGTAACTATGGAAACATAATTTTATGACAATATTAACATCATTGTATGTCCAGTCTATGAGAAATACACACACATTATTGAGTATAAATCATCAAATCAGAGAATTTATCCAAAATTCAAAAAATCATACTTTCCTTCTTAGTTACCATGGATACCGCACATTAAACTATTGGAAATGCCCTGAAATCCTGTCTAAATACATTCTTAGCTTGTTATAACATTAAGCAGATATTATCTCGCCCATTAACCTATAAAGAATTGTGGGTTTCATACATTTCAGGACTATAAATTTCTTTGTTATACCGGAAAACATTAATTTCCCTCCTAAGTTATTTTCCTGGTTCTCGTAATGTTTGAATTTAACCTACGACATGACTTTGGCGAGACACTCTTTAGCTGTAAGAACTCACAAATTCCCGTGAAAAGAATGAGATATCGACACTACAAGAGTACAGTTAAGATTTGTATGGCCACACCGGGTCACACAAAGGGACAAACATGTACATTTTCTCGTGCGTGTATACGCTATAGTAATAACATACATCTAAAAGGTATGTTTAAAACATAAAGGAATTCTTATTTCTTCAAGTTTTACACTTAGTACATACATATATATTAGAAAAATGTCACTTACATGTCAGTTTCACAACAGGTGTTTTCTGAATGACCAGTCTCGTGCCCAACGCTAAAATTTTGTCGCAGCACTGAGCAGATTTTATAATAGTCCAAGCTCATTGGTTGTCCCTATTCTTTGACGTTTTCATTGGTCAATACGATCTTGAGACTCAAAATTCTTCCACGTGCCAGACGCACACTTTCGCTTTCCGTACATCCATGCAGCATTATGAAGTTGTTTCAGCACTGGCCAGATTTTATTCCGATCTCTGATTCTTGTTGTTATATCATTAGGTTGGCTAAGGTGATCTCTCTCACTGACACTTCAATACAAGACTGGTGTTAGGGGAGATCGAAATAAGACGAGAACAATAAGTATATAAATATGATATAACACATGATATTCCACAACCATCATAAAAATCATCAACATCTCTCTCTCTCTCTCTCTCTCTCTCTCTCTCTCTCTCTCTCTCTCTCTCTCTCTCTCTCTCTCTCTCTCTCTCCATGTTTCATCAGTAAAATATGAAATGTAATAATAAGCTACAGAGTAATGAAAAATAAATCTATCACTAAGATTTTCTCTGTGTTTTAATCAGCGTTTTGATGCATTGTCACGGCTAGGTCAATGCGTGTTTGCACTTTCCAGACCTATTTCAACTTAGTAATAAAAGTGCTTGTTTTGTTGGTTATAGATTCAATACAAATAGCAACGAAAAGGAGACACATTTGTGGTTTGTTGAATAATATCTTAAATCTATTGTTCCATAATGCATCCAGTAAGAATATCAATTCCTTCGATTTTTAACAAGATTCTAACATAATATTATAACGTGCACCTTTTGGAGAATAATGTTCAACACTCTTGTTTGAAAAAAAATGTTTATTATATATAACTATTTTTGTATGAAGACTGTTTTTTTTTCAAAATAAGAATGTACTGAGAATAAACGCCATTTTTAAAATAAAAAGTCGTCAAAACACAACATTACCTTTTTCTCACTTTAATTTACTCTTCATCATCAAATTGGCGTATACTTCTCTAGGTTTTAGGTTGAATGTGATAATTTTATATAAAAATAACTTTGTTGAATGTGATAATTTTGTATAAACATAACTTTGTTGAATGTGATAATTTTGTATAAACGTAACTTTCTACTTTCAGTTACATAAACTAGTCAAAATCGATTGTCCATAAGTCAGAAAAATAAAAGTACTCTGTCGACATAGTCGGAATTTTTGTCGTGTATTAATCTAAATCGTTAGTGAAGACGAAAACATAATGGTCACCAAGAACAAGAATGTCTGAATAGGGATGACATCTTTAGCAGTTATACTGCCTTAGTGCACCAAGAAGGTTAAAGATACAAGTTGTTATAGTGTTACAGTCCTTTAGTCGTGTTGATCAGCAGCAATTAGTTTTACATTAATGAAGAGCGAGTTTTTTTTTTTTTTTCAAAACGTTCGTGTAAGGTATTTTATCCGGAATTACGTTAAAGATAAAAAAATCCAACATCAGCGACATTTGAAAAGTGTTACAGTACGTATGTTTTATTCCATTACATTGTTAGACACTTTTAATGTAAACTTTTTGCAGATCTTGCACTAAAAATAAAATTTCATTTAAGTGTCAGCATGCTTATAGTTTTTTTTTAATTCAATGCTACTCACTTGACCCGGAGAGGATGTCAGAAATCTGTTTCTAAGATGACTGTCATACTGGATTTGAGGTCAACGGGAAAAATATTAATATGAAGATCTGAGCTGAATCCAATGAATAGAAATCTAGAGGTTTACATGTGTTTTTCAGGAAAGCGATGCATGCACAATTGGCCGCTGTGAATGTTCTGTCAAAGTTTTTATTAAGTCGAAAAAGGCATACTTTTTCCGATAACAACCTCACCAGTTTTCAACTAACTTGCATAAATAGCACCAGAGGATTGTTGAGAGTTTGCAACTTAATCCTATATCAACCATATCTCACCAACACAGGGAGCGAGATTCTTTTATTCTGCTAGCCTTCTTAGGTGTGTTTTTGTCTCCACAATGCTTCAGTCGTTGACGTGACGATATGGTATATATACAAAAGGAGCCCGTCCCTACATCAGTGTAAGTCAAGTATATGCCAGTCCAGGAGAAACATTTATCTAGTACTTCTCAAGAAATAGCGATATTAAACTGTCAAAATCGAACCAAGATGGCTGTTGTTAGGAACTCTTTTTTTTGTACATGACACGTCCGTAAAAATATTTTGTCATTTTTTATCTCTCCAGAACTACAAAATGGATTCACGGGATGCATCATTAAGATATCAAACTAGTCATGGTTGTGCTTGACTTACTCTGAATACGATGCAATATTTAAGATAGTTTCGTGTGGCCATTTTGAAAATTATATTCTGGAATCGCTTCTTTAGAACTCCATGGATCATCTTGAAACTCCACACAATTGTAATGGTCCTCTTTAACGTGCATGCAGAATTTCGTGGTACATACATTATTCATGATGGGTTCTTTATCTCGTGAACTAATGAAGAAATCTAGTAGAAATTCTTGTTAAAACATGCCTAGATGTAGAGTCTGAGCCATTTTCCAGGATGGGTGCCAGACGCCAGCTTGGATTTCCACAAATGGTTTTGTGATAGCTGTTCTGTCACATGTGACCATCCTGAAATGTTGCAACATATCAAAAATTGGTGCAGGTCCTGGATGTCACACTTTAAGCACGATATAAATTTCAAGATGGTTGCCAGGTGCCATTTTGCATTTTGACTTTCAACATAATCACTATAGGTTCTTAGTTAAGCATTTTCACATTTTGGTACGATCCCGCATTCAAGATGGCTACCAGTTTTAATATTGTATAACAATGGGAATTGGTTACTTCTGTTTCTCAAAATACTAACGAAATAATCATAATGCTGAAAGCCATTAAAAAGTTGTGAAAATTTCATTTAAATCCATTAAAGTTGTCAGAATCATTAAAACAACAACGATTATTTTGGATGTTTCAGTGTTTAGATATTTCTAATTTTATCATTTTATTTAGTTTCTGATAGTATGGTTATATCAAGATAAGGGCATTGAAATTGTCCTATTTTAGCCATCCAAGTTGGTCACTCTGTTGTCAAATATTCAAATAAGGCACTGTTATAGCATTATCTAATTGACAAATAATTACTTGCGAATTGAAGTAAAAACTTCCAAAATCAAAAAAAAATTTATAATGAAAGTTTATTTCATAAATCATGTTATAACCTGGAGTATTTGTTGTTATTTGTAAGTAAATAAGATTTCTTGTTGCTTGTAGCAAACAATCAGTTTCATTCAAACAAGCACAACAATTTGTTCCCTTTCTGTCCAGAACAAACACTGTAAAGATATATAGTGTTAACTATATGTTTTATCATTTTATGATGTGTATTAAAAAATACATGTTCACACATCCTTGAATTTAGAACATGCTTTATCATTAGATCTTAATCAATGATCAGGAAATAAAATTATACATTAATTATTATGTGAATATTTAGATTTTTTTCAGAGAAAATAACAACGAAAACATCAATTTATGAAATATAAACATGAATATGATAAATGAAATTACACTGGACCTTTAAGTCATATAACTTTACATTGGTCCTTTAGAAATGTGTTTTTTTTCCTCAGATCATGGAATATTGTATCTTCTCTCCATCAATGAAACAAAAATCTGGTCAAATCACTCCCACACACTTACAAAAGTAAAATGTAATGACTTGTACCAATGGCAGTGTAAAGTTAGAGTGTCTGAATTTACACCATTCTGTTAAGTGTTGACTTGAAAAAGTACACTGATTTGTTTTAGTGTAGCTTAGTTCGCTAAGAATTTAGTATATGTTGAAAAATTGAAAACCTGTGATAACTCAGACATATATACCAGCGTAATAAGGACACTTACTTAAAAAAGAAGGCAAAAAAAATATATTCCTAACACAAAATTTTGTTTCTGAATTCAAAAAAATTTACAAAATGTTTACTCTAAAGTGTTTATTAATTTGTTAATTCTATCCAAAAAATATCCACACGTTTTGTGGAACAAAATATCTTTCAGGGAAAAATATTTACCGTTTTAACGACTAAGAAAAATAGAAACATGATCCAACATGAACAAGAAATCAGATAAAATGACAAGGCTACTTGATAATATCTACAGGAGTACAAATAATGCAATATAGATCCATCTCGCGTCATTCAATTGTGCATGCACAGCCAATCAACCCCATTCTCTCTTCATTCACAAATTAAAATGCATGAGCAATTTCACAAACCAAGAAATCTCGAACCCTTTTTACTTTAAAACCATATTTTTTGGTGGGTCATATTTTTGGGGGATATTTTTTTTTAAATTCCATATTTGCCTACATTTGATTTGATTAAAATGTAGTCCTAACAAAATTGATGCTTTACATAAAATCTGTCACAGTTGAACAGAGTTACACAGGAAGTTACACATCTAAAGAACAAAAATTAAACCCACACAAAAATGAATGATTTTAAAGTATTGAGAACGACAAGAATCACTTGTTCTATATAACAAGCTGATGAACATTCACCTACACTATAACACATATGAGAGCCTATTCTGAATGTGTGACCCAATTATTCTGTCAAAAATAAACCTTTGCATTGAAAATATTGATGTATTGATTTAGCTTCACAGATTGACTATTAAACAGTTTTATTTTGTCAACAAGAGATTTAATTCAGACATGACTTCAGCTTTAGAGCCTACTAAACTGTTATCAAATACTTTTTTTCATTGGTAAACTCTTTAGAAAAGAAGTATTTTTTCAAAAGATGTAAACTGTGGTTTTCTTTAATAAACATATACATTAACATTTGTCATTAAAATCTACAAAGCACTCAGAACAACATACAGAAATTCTAGAACTACCATAACCATTCAGAATGAAGTATGTTCCCTCCCTTCACCAATGATAATGTGAAAGGTTAATTTTCTTTTTAAAAAATCTAAATGGAATAGAAATTCAATCAATGTTCCCATCAGATATACTATGTACATGTACGAGTTTTAATATAACCCGATCATTCACCTGCATTCTCATCTGCTCAAAACTGATGATATGATAACATTGAAGCTCACCAAAATTTGAATTATGAATGATTTTGTTTCTAGTTAGAAAGATAAGCCTCAATATCTTTGATGTATCTTCATTAAGACAGATTAAAAATATTTTTACAAACAAGATGAAGGATTTGGTAACTAGTATTTCATTTCCTACTCGATTCAAAACGTCTCATGACACAAAAAATAGTATGTTCGAATATAGGATATTGCTGTTCAAAAAAATATTATTATTTGGAATTGATTCATTCTAAAAAACAATTTCATTGACAAACTGAAATAACAATTAAGCTTATTCTGTATATACATCAACAAGGTCTCCTTGAGGTCAGATGCAGGGTGTAAAATAAATGACTTTATCTTAACCAGATGAAATGAAATGTTTATAAGTTGCTGCCAGTATTCACGTCAATCCAAACCGTTCTGCTCGTTTCCTTTTCTTTGCCTGAAATTAGAATAAATAAGTATACAGGTTATTGGGTTAACATATATTAAGTGACATGGATTTGGTGATTTACATCGCTGTTAGAGAGGGTGATTGTACCCTTATATAAAGAAAGTGTAGCCTTCTACTGCACTGAACAAGTTAATGGTATCAGTGAACAATTAGTATTACTTAGTGTTACTCAAATATAAAATTGTTTGTGTGTACAACACACAGTCATACAAAACTATGTAATGATGCATCAGTTTGCTCAGTTTTATCATATACCATTCTTATCCTACCATAAGCCACCCAGGGTTTCCAAACTCAGACCCAAAGAGGTCCCTGACTTTAGCTAACACCTAAAAGGGCCCCCAACTTTAGCTTAGACCTAAAGGGATCATGGACTTCTGCTCTGAGCTAAAAGGATCCTGGATTTTAGCTCAGACCTAAAAGAGGTATCTGACTTAACCTCAGACCTAAAAGGGCCCCCAACTTTAGCTTAGACCTAAAGGGATCATGGCCTTTGCCTCAGACTAAAAGGGATTCTGGATTTTAGCTCAGACCTAAAAGAGGTATCTGACTTAACCTCAGACCTAAAAGGGCCCCCAACTTTAGCTTAGACCTAAAGTGATCATGGACTTCAGCTCAGACCTAAAAGAACCCTTAACTTTAGCTTAGACTTAAAGGGGTCCTGGCCTTTGCCTCAGACTAAAAGGGATTCTGGACTTTAGCTTAGACCTAAAGGGGTCCTGGAGTTAAGCTCAGACCAAAAGGGATTCTGGACTTTAGCTCAGACCTAAAGGGATCCTGGAGTTACGCTCAGACCTAAAGGGGTCCTGGAGTTACGCTCAGACTTAAAGGGGTCCTGGACTTCAGCTGAGACCTAAAGGGGTCCTGGAGTTTAGCTCAGACCTAAAGGGATCCTGGACTTAAGCTCAGACCTAAAGGGGTCCTTGATTTAGCTCAGACCTAAAGGGGTCCTTGACTAAGCTCAGACCTAAAGGGATCCTGGAGTTTAGCTCAGACCTGATGGGATCCTCAACTAGCTCAGATCTAAAGGGGTCCTGGACTTCAGCTCAGACTTAAAGGGGTCCTTGATTTAGCTGAGACATATGATACTTACATCAGCTTCTAAACTGTCTGTTGCACTTGTAGAAACACCAAATCTTTCCTTCCTCTTCAGTAACTTCTCTTGGTTCTCTGTCTGTAATCACATAAATCACTGATCCTAAGTAAGTGTTTTAAGTGTTGACATAATTTGTAGGCTTTACCCAGTGTGAACTTCTAACAGTTGGCGACATCTTTGTTCAAAGTCACGATTATTCTCTGTATATCAGTATTAATATATTTTTCACATTGGGGTATTATCTCAGATATAATAAGACATGGAAGTTTCTTTATAAACTATTTCTTACTTATTAATATCTTCCAACAAGGTCTTTTTTAACTCTAACATTTATAACCGGAGGTCTAAGAGGAATCCTGGTGCCCATCATTACCATTCTTTTACATGATGTTTAAAAGTTGTATCTTTCTCCTTCATAGTATTATTTTATGGTCAAAATCCATGATGGCTGCTTTTCAGTCATATTATTTTACAGATAAGTCCCAAATTGGGACCATGCACAACAACAGGTCAAGAGGGACCTGTATATGAAATTTGACAATGATACATCCTGTCTTTTGCAAGAAGATGTGAAAACAAAAACTGCTTAAAGTAGACGAACAGGCCATGAACAAAGGGCAATTTTAACAACCTACCAGCTGATAATCAGAAGAATACACTTCATCTCCGCATGCTAGCAATTGAAATGCTGATTAACCCTCTAGAAATTGTGTTTCTAATTAAAACTTAGTAAATCACCAAATTATTTGTCCTACTGAGTAAATCTCACGAGCCTGTACAACTACCATTAATCTTCATTGTATACTGTAATCATTCTAATTTTTATGGGCTTTTATTTTTTGTGGATGGAATGAAGTCATGAAAAAATAGACACAGTAAAAACAAAAGAAAGAGAAACTGTTTTCATTTCCATGAAGTACCGCAAATTAGAACAAGGAATTGATTTATAACTGAGGGAGGAGTTCATACGACAAGATTAGAATGTTGAAAAATGTAAAGGGCAATAACTCCTTTAAAAGTTGCTGAATCAAAACACTGTTAAAGTCCAATTTCATGTCCTAGTTATGAAGGCTACAACTTCTGAAAGCAATATGCCTAAAGCTGAAAGAAATAAACCTTGGATAGGATTGTGAATAACCAAAGGGTAATAACTTTTCCATAGAAAATCAAATCAAACTGCTGTTCAGGAGACAAAGCTTCATATAATGGTGATTAATGCTGCCAAGTTTGAAAGAGATACGTTCCAAACTGTCAGAAGAGATCTCCAGATAAGTAAAAGATTATGACGGACAATACGATACTGTTACTATTTTCATACAACAATAGGGTCATGGCCCTGAACGGTAATCTGACAATAGACAAATGGATGGACACACCTCACAATTTGCTGCTGGTGGTCTAACACATCAGATGAATTCAGATTTTGAACATTCCTAGAAAGTATCAAAAACTCCTAAATGGTAGATTCTGTTCATGAAAAACGGTTGCATGATCATTTCCTTACCAAAGTTAACTCCAAATACTTTTCTCATTGGTGTGAATGAAACTTGAGAAGTAGTTCAGACTATTTCTATTTGTTAAAGAGAAGTTATCAGAATCACATTATGCATGTTGGATATCATTGCTTCTTCCTATAATATTTCAGGCCAAATTAAGGTGATATCTACACACTGGAGTTAAGAAGAGGAAGCGTTTTGAAGTAAAATATTGCCTAACTTCCTTTTTTGGGGCCACACCCCTTACTACCTAAGGGCCAGATAAACTTTCTGAATCTAATAGATGATTCTTTAACCAAATTGATGTTTCACACTAAACAAATTTATGCCATCATAAAAAGCAACTTTTCCAGTAAGTAAAGATTTCCCTGTATCATGTATTATCAGTGAGGAAGTTATGACTTAAACAGGTCTTTCCCCTTACATTAGACAGACTTGTTGATGTGACGGCTCCAAATCTCTCTGCTCGCTTCTTTAATTTCTGGGTCTCGTCAACCTAAGATACATAAATACTAATTTAGTTTCACACATTTCTCAGTATTAACAAATAAGTCACATTTAGGTTCTACAAAAAAAAAAAAACAAAAAAAAACATATGTTCCTATTAAATCAATGTCTACAATTTTATGCACCCAGTATATATAAAGTGAGAAGATATATTTTCAATGTTTAAGTTTCTGAATCATGACCGTTAAAACATAATTCAATGATATAAATCATAACCTTTGAAAGCACTGTGGAAGTGATTGTTCCAAATCGTTCTGCCCTTTTTTTCAGTTTGTCCACGTCTGCTGACTGAGTAAACAAAAACCTTTTACATATTACCTTTTATCAAATATGACATTTTAGACAGTCACACCACAAAATGATCTGATATCCTATAAACAAGATAGATTGGATGTAGTGTTACAACCTATATGTCTCAAATTAATCTATCTCTCAAATTACTACTGTAGAAGTTGAGAGTACAGGTCGCCTTACTAGCATCGGCTAGTGGGAAGCTTCCTTAAGTTGAGCGGTTGAGGGTCGCTAGTTCGAACACAAAGGAAGTAAAAATAAAGTTAATTCAGGAATCACAATAGTTTTTTAAACTTTATTTTTTCACACAGAAATACTGGGATGAATTAGAACTCAGAATTCTTCCAGCTGCCCTTCATAAATTTTCTTATAACAGAATAATTGTACCATGATTACCTTGTTACAAATTCATGCTTTATGAACACTTTCCTTGGCATGATGTTAATTATAAATCCCAGATTGCTGATGTATTAACATAGAATATCCCTACAAATCTGAACGCCTGTAAGACTAGTGAGTAAAGTTATCATTTGTATCTAGGAGTGACAGACTTACCGGTCCTGGGGCAAGCTTACTTCCTCCTTTCACACTGGCTTGTCCTGTGCCAAACCTGGGTGGGAAAGGTAGAAAAGACAAAAATACATTTTCTATTTACAGATATACTTAAAAGAAGGCCATAATTTCATGATTTTTCTTCTTCTGATGGTCAGACACATAACAATACTGGCAAGTAAAAATATAAACCTCTTGCATAACATCCATGTCCTGGAGAACAAAATGACTTATAATTGAAATGTTACATGGCAACAGAAATGACAACAGTTTTTAATCAATTAAAATACTGAATTAATAAACAGAAATAAAACAATAACGTCCTACCACTGTTGTTGATTTCAATGTAATATATTGTTGTTTTGTTGTAAAATTCATAAGCTGACCCCCATCAGCAGAAATTTGAAATAACCAGTAGACATTGACTATATTTGAGAGTACTGCTAATTCCACCTGATATTAATATCATGACCATTGAAAGGATCATTATTCCTGAGCTTATAATGACTTTTTATTTACCTTAAATGAATTTCTGATGAATGGATAACTAGGAAATAAGTTTCATTGATAAATTTGATGTCAGGGATTCAGCTTGTTAAAAAAGTAAAAGTTTATTATCCCCTCCCCGAGTATGTTATACAAATTCATACAAGAGATGAAATTAAAAACATAGTTATACATGCATATTGTAAATCAATAACACCAAATTTTATTTACAGCATGGTGACCTAGTTTTTCATTTCAGAAGATCGGTCAGAAACAGGAGAATGAACAGAAAAGTATGTTTATTACCACGCACATGATGTTTCGTCCAATCAGGAAATAAATTGATGAACAATGACATCAAATTCAAACATGTTTCTACCACCACATACAGATTTGTCTCCCATTTACATATATACAATATCCCTGTTATCCCTTTTGGGGTAATTCCTATGTCACTCACTCGGGTATGACAGATAGTATGTACTATGACACCACTCTCAAAAGGGGTTGCATCATCATTTTATATTGCATATTGCTGTAACCATGACACCAATTGATATTGTCATCAATTTCTATGCACATTTATTGAATATTGGTGAGTACTCACAACTTACAACCTGTTCATTGGAATATCTCTACCCTCGTGTTAGAATTCGGCTAGTCAGCACTCAGTCTCCCTTGTGCTGACCAGTCAATTTCCTACATGAGGGTGGAGATATCCTTGTCAATGGAAAAGCCCAACATGAGATTCTATCAATTTCTATACAGTCAAAACACCACCATACTTTTGACAACTAGTAATTTGTAACTATATCTGTTCTAATGATGAAGTTGCATTGACAAATTACAGTGAGTCTTTATGGTAATGACAATTCTTTCAAGAAGTAAATTTTTTCCATATATTTTGATAAAAAAAAATATGACACTGTTGACTTAAGTAAACTGAAGCAGGTGTTATCACATAATACATGTCTCCTTTCTCCAAACTCTGATAGATACCTCTCAGCTCTCATCTGTTTCTGCACGTCAGGATTAATAGCACCAAATTTCTGTACTCTCATCTTCAATTTCTGAAACCAGTCACAAAATGTACAGCAACATCAAACCACAATGGTTAATATTGTTGCAGAAAAATATCTTACATAAAATCATTTTTTGAAGTAAAATTTAAATGTGAAATTTCCGTCTAAATTTTCTAATCTAAGCTTAAATGATTAACAATATAATCATATTCTACTTCCACTTCACCTCAACCATGTTTTGATGTTTCTGTTTCAACTTTTCTTAAAATCATTTTGAATCCTATTACATTGTATTTCTAATTTAAACCCTTCTTATTATCGTTATTGTTTTTTGTATAAAAAACCCAGCAAAACATCTAATGCTTGTCTGAAAACTTCTTAATGAATTTATACTAATTCATTTATTCATTTCCAACAGCAAGATTCTTCAGATGACAGCCATTTTGACTGTACCACTGACAGGAAGGTTCCTCAGATGACACAGCCATTTTGACAGTGTACCACTGACAGGAAGATTCTTCAGATGACACAGCCATTTTGACAGTGTACCACTAACAGGAAGATTCCTCAGATGACAGCCATATTGACAGTGTACCACTGACAGGAAGATTCCTCAGATGACACAGCCATTTTGACAGTGTACCACTGACAGGAAGGTTCCTCAGATGACAGCCATTTTGACAGTGTACCACTGACAGGAAGATTCCTCAGATGACACAGCCATTTTGACAGCGTATCACTGACAGGAAGGTTCCTCAGATGACATAGCCATTTTGACAGTGTATCACTGACAGGAAGGTTCCTCAGATAAAACAACCATTTGACAGTGTACCACCGACAGGAAGATTCTTCAAATGACACAGCCATTTTGACAGTGTACCACTGACAGGAAGGTTCCTCAGATGACACAGCCATTTTGACAGTGTTTCACAGACAGGAAGGTTCCTCAGATGACATAGCCATTTTGACAGCGTATCACTGACAGGAAGGTTCCTCAGATGACAGCCATTTTGACAGTGTACCACTGACAGGAAGATTCCTCAGATGACACAGCCATTTTGACAGTGAACCACTGACAGGAAGATTCCTCAGATGACACAGCCATTTTGACAGCGTATCACTGACAGGAAGATTCCTCAGATGACACAGCCATTTTGACTGTACCACTGACAGGAAGGTTCCTCAGATGACACAGCCATTTTGACAGTGTACCACTGACAGGACGATTCCTCAGATGACACAGCCATTTTGACAGTGTATCACTACCATCTTGAAGACTACAATAAGATATGAGGGCATCTAATGGATGAGATAACCTGCCATGCTACAAACATTAATTTCTTATTTCATTACAGATTCAACTGACATAAAAGACAGAGAATTTTCCTACAGCCTAGATTGCCAACTTAAACTGACCAAAATTTGAAAAGGTTTGTTTGTTTGTTTTTTGATTGGGTTTATCATCCAATGAACAGTATTTTTGAGGCAGGGTCTACCTCACTAAACAACATACAGGAATCCAGTTGCTTGCCATCAACAAAAAAAATGGTTAAAACATCTTGCCCGAGGACACCACCAAATCAGCACAGACCAGTCTCTTTCACAGCTTCCTGAGAAACACATGATGCCAGTGGTAGCAAACATCGAACCACGTACCATGTATCTTCACCTCAGACTTTGTAGGCCAGGGCTCTACCACCTCAGCCATCACAGCCATCTATATGGGTAGAACTTCTCTGATAAAAAGGATAGCAAAGATACTGACATACAGTTTGGCTGTCAGCATCATTTAGAAAGGGAGATAACTTTTACTCACATCATTTTCACTGACACCTGTTGTAGACACTACTTTGGTTTCTGTGACAGGAGCAGTGATCTGCGTCTTTACTTTGCTGACAGTGACACTGCAAGTACATGAAAGAAAGCGTTCTATGGTCAAAAAATGATCAATATACCATTTTGAAAAACACATGAAAATTATGAAGATCAATACATGGGCTATTATACTGAAAGGTACTAACTGGAATTACATGGTAGAACAAAAAAAAATTAATTATATGGGTTTTTTTTTCTTAAACCTAAATCACAAATTAAATGGGTCAGTTGATGATGTTTTCATATTCCATATCATTTATAATTATCTGCACAAGGAACATGTACAGTTTTCAAATTTTATGATCAAAATCTCTGAAAAAATTAAGACCTTTCTTAATGAAGTTGTTCTCTTTCAACCAGAAAGTCATCTTCATCAAAGAAATCTTTGAAAGCTTAAAGTGAAATATCTAAGTAAACGGTGCTAGATCAGATAAAAGTTAACATTATCAGATCTGTCAACCGATGGCCTGGTCATTCAACTATCCTAAAAGCTCCTTTATGATTTCATCATTTCTCTGCGATGTCGTCCACTAATATGTCCTTTTCTGTCTTAAAAAGTCCAGTATTATATTTATAGAATTTTGGCTTCATGTTACCATCAGTGAGAGTTACCTTTCCTTGGGGGGTGTCTCTACTTCTGTTGTCAGAGCTATCTCATCAGCATCATCTTCTCCTAACACCTGGTCAAGCTGAATACACAACAAAATAGGTATTATAGTCTGTTTCATAATATAACTACCACCTTAACTCAAAATCTGAATGTATGCTGAATACACAATGAAATATGTCTTATGGTCTATTTCATAATAGAACTACCACCTTAACTCAAAATCTGAATTTATAACAAAGAATGTCTTATATTGCACTTAAAAGTCTGTTTCATAATGCAACTACAATGTTCTTACACTGAATATCATCACAAATCTTGTTTAACAATTAAAGTCTTTTTCATAATACAACTACCACCTTCTTCATTTGGATACATAACAAAGTACATTCATGTATGAATTACATTCATGTAACCCACTGAAATCAGAAATAAATCAGACACGAAATCATGCAATTTTTTATACAGCAAATCAATACCTACAAATGTAGATAATAAACACAGATTTCGTGGTTCATTTTTGTCGATTTATAATACATGCAGGGCTCTCACACCCCATTTTGGGACTGGGGCCCTTTGAATTGGGAAAAATAATGGTGTTTTCCTTAGAATTGGTAAAACTTGGGGTCTAAATTGGGAAAAATGATACTATTTTGCATTGGGATATTCGGCCCCAAATCTGGCAGATCGAGAGCCCTGACATTATATCTACCTTAATAGCAGTTTATCCTAAATTTAGGTGTACACTATATACAGCTGTATGACTTCTGAGAAGTCAAGGTTTGGAAAAAGATTTCTTAGTGTTTGAATTCAATGAATGCCTCTCATGTATTTGAAGCCCTACAGCTTTCAATTATTGAAACAAAAGCAAGAGAAACTTAATTAATTTGTAAGTTAATTAGGCTGCTAAATTCATTAAGGTACTGTACCACATTTGCTGCCAAATTAGCGACCGCATGAATGAGGCTCCCCAAAGGGTTTTAACAGATACTATGCACATGGAATTTACAGCAGTGGTTCAGATTTTGCAGAAGTAAATCACTGCAAACTCTATTTATAGCTTAAGTCGCAACAGTAGACAAAATCTAGTTGACTCTTTTGATCCATTACAATTGATGATCATTAAGGTATGTTCTAACCCTCAGGATGACTCAACGTTGAACCAGATGTCATAAGTGGTTTGTATTTTGTCTCTGTAGTAGCCTATTTTTCTTAACAGTAATAACACAAATACCCGTAGGTAGATTTCTTATAGTGATAATCAAAGAGCACCTTTCAAAGTTGTTTTAGGTTAACATACCGCATCCTCGACAGAATCATCACCAACATCAGCAATCTCTTCATCTACTGGCTCCTCTGCATCTCCTGTTACATACAAATGTGCTTCTCAGTCAACATTATAACAAACATCAATAAATGTAATTCCAATTTCAGGAACTATCGTCATTTCTTTCTACAAGGAATCACCAGAACACTTACATCAATGTGACAATGCCTAATGATGGGAAGAGTCGTGGTGATAGAAAACCTTTGACCAACCAATAGATAAGTATGTATGTAACCAGGATAACTAAAGATAGGAAGTGTCATGGGGAATAAAAATTTGAAATCAACCAACAGCAAAGTGTATATGTCACCATGACAACACAATTAACAATGAGAAGAGCTATGGTGATGGTAATCCTTTAATCAACCAATCAGATTTCTTTTTACGTGTCTTACAGAGAAAGGAGACCACTGACATATGTGTATGATAAATATATCAAAGAATCGTGTTTACTTGATAAATATTTGCTGTCATACAGAGACCTCAAAAGTGTCAGAGGATGTTCACTCCTTGTAATGAAATATAATGTATCAAGTGTTATACTGATTACATTAAAGATAAATAGTAAGTTTATTACAGAATTTTGATATTATGGCTTTTATATATTTCAATGGCTGATGAAACATATTTGCAACCAAAGGTGTAGATGTAGGCAAAAAATATGATGTACAATGTACTGCTGGGAAATTTGGCTTCAGAAGACTGCAGTGCTGTTTCACATTCATGAACATATTTAGTAGGCTCTATATACCACAATAGGTATAACAGAGATCATTATCTAGATTAATGCTTAGACTCGAACCTGAGACCTCTGGCTCACTCCATTAATGCTAAAATGATTTAGCTGAAAAGAAGACCTCTCTAACCGAGAGGTATATTGCAGCTGATATATAATTACCTGGGCTACATACTGATCTTTAAGGATTGTTACAGTGTTGCATTTAGAGCAATAATGCTGAATATTATTCCGTAGTCCCAACATGGACTCATATGTACATATATGTGGTAGAGGTTACCATTTATATCAATCAATCCATGGACCTCTGATTTATTATAGTCTTATGCTAAACTGACTGAGGGAAAGAGAGTTTCCCTATCTGACTGGTATACTGTAGCTAATTTGTGCACCAGTGTCACTTCAATATATAGAAGATGAAAAATGACAAGTACATTTACAACATATCACTCATTTCATCTCCTACAGTGAATAAAGAATACATTCTAACTTTATACCTGATCCTTGATTTATCTCAGCCTTTAACCTCTGAACTAAGTCCTTCTTAGTTCCAGTGGTTGGTAGGTTGCGAGACTTGCATTCCTTTTTCAAGTCTGGGACCTGAAACAGAAAAACATAATAGTTTTAACTTTATTTATCATCAAATTCAAAGTTGCATCAAACAATCAGTAGGTCACAATTCATAGAGATATTGATGACTTTTTAAGAATAATTATGACATTAAGTCTGAAAATTGACGCCAGATGAGAACTTGAGTAGATATTTGCTCTGTTTCACATGATAAACTGTGATCAAGAAAATGGCACATTCTTAATCATTGATTTGACTTGATTGAATTATTTTTTTTAAAAATTTTACTGGTAGTCACATTAAAATCATTTATCTATAGACCAGTGAATCATTCTATTTTTAGAATTTGCTTATCTGTATTTTTCACACCTTAAAATTACACCAGTTACAGGTGGTATGAAAACACAATTATGAAATGTTTGCTCTGCAAAAGAGGGGCTCTTATCTACTGTGTTACAGGTTCTGAACATCTATCCACAATCTTATTTTTGTCTAGGTCATGATTAATAGTTCGAATTCCTCCCTCAAAAAATAAAATCCTAGGGGCCTGTGCAATGTCCAGATTTCAGATAACTTTTTCTATAATTTTCAAGAATACAATGCCTACATCATACACCAGATGAAAGAGGAAACTACATGTTAATCTACATGTTAAACATTGACACCCATGCAACTACTCGTTTTTTCAGGCATCTTGTGTTCCAGGGACATTTTTTCAAAATGGCTACCATTGTAATGGTAAGATCTCACAAAGGTTGTCCCAATGAAACATTTTTGAAATGTAAACCCTGATGACATTGGCTGCCATTTCCGAAATACGCTTGAAACTGTAGATGACAGAATAATGGGTTTCTCAATTAAAAGCTTACCACTATCAATGCCATCATTGTCTGATTTATAAAGATTATATATGTTTGTAACTTATTTTAAAAAATAGTCTGAATGCTGATCATGCATGGATAACTTATAAAATTTCACGGTTTGATACAGGGAGGAGTTTTGCCTACAGACCATGATCGCTACGACGACAAAACAATGAAATCGCAAACAAGAAGACAGAACCTTTCAGACTAGATCCAGGTATGGCAATTAAGAAGCCATTTCTGTTAAAGGCTGTGGATGTGGTATACAGCCTACCGAATGAGGTAAAAAAAAGGCTGAATTATTCCATCTTCGGGAGGCTACTTCACACCTGAGACTGCCCAATATGTAACTTCATAATTCATTAACTCATTAACATTTAACTAATTTGCAATTCAATATGTTACCTAGCCATCTGTGACTCCAGAGACACAAATTATCATCACTTTCACAACATATACCATTCTTTTTTTAAATATTTCACATCAATGTCAGTCCTTACTCTAACTATATTTCTATGTAATATATGTGCAATTCTGGGCCACTCTATAATGTTCCAGTGATTTAGTGATGAAGTGATGAACAGAAGTGATGTTGCATATCTTCAATTTTCAGATGAGAAAGCGTGTGGAATCTGTGGATAATTGTTCTCACATTCAGAAATGTATAGTACTGTCTACTAGTGTTTATTTTGAAAAGATCAGTTGCCGTATTCGACCCAATAAGTGCCCATGTCCCTATAAGCGCCCCCTCCCCCTTCAGATACCTAAAAGTCTAGATTTACTTACCTTTTAGTCATGATCAAGAATTGTTTTAAGTCGGTTTATAAGGAGATGTACTCCAGGAAAAATGTATAACTAAGATGGTTTTATTGCATGTAAAAAAACTAGTGATTTAATAAATACATGAACCGTACAGTAGATTTTTTAGTACTGCATGTGTTTCTTTTACATCTAAGACGGTCTCTAAAAAGCGCCCCCCCCTCTTAATTGCAATTTTTTAAGCACCCTGGGCGCTTATTGGATCGAATACTGTATGTGCTTTTGGAGAAATATGAATTATGTACAAAGCAAGGCCAATTTCTTCCCTGTATTCTTAAAAATAGACACAGGCACTTTCTCATTCCTCTATATTGTCTTTGGTGCATTCATTTTGGACTCCTTCAGAATTACATCCCTGTAGTAATGTTATGTCAATGAGGTGCAACCAAACTAATACATAAATACATAAATGTATTGAAATGTGTTCATATTTTGAAATTTATTTTATAAATGATCAGTGAAACAAGTATTTTTTCTGAAAGATATATATAAATATGATCTCAAACTTGCTCACCTTAAATGACACACTTTCATTTCCAGTGACATCACAGAGATGCCTGATTTAGTCTATGATAGTGGCCTAGATTTTGACATAAAATAATTCTTCAGAACAGGAATGACATTGCAAAGGTATGTGTGTATGTGTGCACATTTCACTAAAGGGTAAGAAAAAGTTTTTTTAGATTTTTTTTATCTTTTTCTGCAATGAGCCACTCTTCAAATGAGACAATTCTAACATCAATGTTTTTCAATATAAGATGTGCATGTTTAGACTTTCGAAACAAGAAAAAATGAAAGGAGGCGTGGCCTATCATTTGTAATTGATTTGTTATTCCCATGGCAAAATACTGGCATCCGAGGAAGGATTGATGGACTATTTTATGATATCTGGGTGGATGTTTGACACATAAACAACGTGCATTAAGAAAAAGTACCCAAATAAGCCAATTAATTAAATACTCCTAATATTTTATGATAAATTGATTTAATTGTGTTACAGTTACCAAAATCACATTACAACTGATGTAGGTCAATTGTTCACGTAAAGCAACTCGACACAATGGCCGTACCGAAATACATAACGGACCGGAACCGATGTCAAGACGATACACGTCCGCCATACCGAACAAATCGTTAAATAAATCTTAGAATATGAACGCATTTCAATACTTTACTTGTTTTGTTGCAATTCATCGACAGCTTATAGGTAAAATAAAACCATGTACTATACCACAGATATTGAGATCGAGAGAGATCTCACAATAAGGGGTCCGAAACTAATGCACCTAGGATCCATGGTACAGCTGTAACCATGTTGAATGCAAATTTGTAGTCGAACGTATTGACGTACAGAGAGTTACAGGATGAGATAGTAATTATATTTAAATTGCATAAACAATTAGATTACCTTCATCTTTGCTAATTCAGCGAGTAAACTTTCTGAAGCGTTCGCCATGCTGAATGCTGCAGTTCTCTGCCGCTTATGCCGATCACTGTCACGCTCACGCTCTAGCAGTAATTCGACTTAAAATCAAAACATTCTGATGATTTCTAGTTATGCTTCCTTTTGGCACAGAAGAGCTCCACAAACACATGTGCATGTACAATGTTTTTGGTGGTGAGATGAAAATTTAGGAAGATAAAAACCTCTTGTATAGAAACAATGGCTACTGCTGGACATATAGAAAGAGACGGTATAGTCCGAGATGAAAAGACAGGTATGAAAGCCACAATCAGCTGCAGATACGACATTTTAGCTGATATTTTCCAACAAACATGTAAACACAAATGTATGTTTGGAATAGGTTGCAAATAATTACATTAGCATTGGATTACATGTGCAGTTAGTCCTGTTGTGTGTTATCTTTAATCTCATTAAACAGTGTACGCCCATGGATCTATATATATAGCATATATAAATGTTTACATATGTTGAAGTTATATAAACTACATTCGGTCCGAACTGAAATTAAATATATGTTGCCAAGATTTAAATACCACATTTGTGTATATTATCATTCTGTTGTTCGTCATTCATAGTGTACGTGTATACATAGTGCTTTGGTTCATATTCTACTCTTGATTATATCAAATCAGTCATCAGTCAAGTTAAAAGGTTGATTATCACATTTTACATGCTGTTTGCTTCTTAATGTATATTTGTATGTCGTTACTTGTTATCAGTTAGTGAACACAGATATGCTATTGTAATACAGGATTGTCATTATGATAAATATTATTCCTTAACACTGATGTGTCCATATTGAGATACTTTTAATCTTCTGTGATGTGTTGGGAGTTCAAATGCCTCCTCTCTGGTGTCTTGATATTCAAAACTTGTCTCTATATTTACTAACTGATAGAAAGTATCTTCTCAGTTGAGAGTACATACATCAAGCTCCAACACACCCACTAGATCACAGCTCAAGGAATTCACTACCATACGACTACTTTAAGAAAGGGTAATCAGAACATATAATGAATAGATATTTTGTATTGATCCAAACTCCTTACATGATTGATATGAAAGTTTTATTTTTCCAGGTGAGTATTATATACCAGCATCTCAGAGGCCTGACGGTACTTGGAGGAAACCTAGAAAGGTCAAGGATGGTTATGTACCCCAGGAAGAAATGCCTACGTGAGTAAACAAAATATAGCTGTGTTAATATTTTATGAAACTTTTATTCTTTTGAAAGAAATACTATCAGTTAACATAATATTTATTAAGTTTATATGCTGATAAATTTATGCATTTGGTACAATATGTTTCCTTTCTGAATACATATTGTACCAATTAGTACCTATTTATGAATTTTTATGCTTCACAAAGTTATGCAGTGGATTTTTTTTTCATGTAAGCATCAAAACTAAATTATGCTGTTTCTTATCAGGTAGAAAAAAATTATATGTAATACCAGCCCCAGTAAAAGCACTGAAGCTTCTTCCTCATGACTCAGATAGGTAGAGTTTCTCTTTAGCTTATTCAGTCTTAGTTCAAGGTCTCATTTAGGTAACGGCAAAAGTAATGACCACTATATTATTGAATAAGAGAGCGGTTTCTTTTTCATTTCAATGTTGCCATGTGTATCCTAATTACAGATATGAAAACCGTGGTGTTCAGTGGATGAAAAGTAAATCATCTCTTCCTCCTGGATTGAACCCAGATGAGGTTACCCCTAAGGAAACTGCCACACCCCAAGCCGCCGACCCCTATGCTGGAATGTCTAAGGCTGCTAAGAAAAACGCTAAACGGAAAGAAAAGAAGAAACAGCAGGGTCATGGTGAAAATGTTGACTCTGTGACCAGGTCATTAGCTGATACCGTACTTTCAAATGACCAATCACAATCATCGAAACAAAGTTCAAACCAATTAGAGACGCCGTTACAAGATAAAGCTGACATTGAGAAGAAAATAAGAAACCTGAAGAAGAAATTAAGACAGATTGAGGATCTTGAGAGTAAAATTAAATCAGGTGAAATTAAAGAACCAGCAAAGGAACAGTTAGAAAAAATATCGAAGAAAGCAACTGTGTTGAGTGATATTGAGGACCTAGAACTAGACTTAGTTGATGTGTGAAGATAGGGTTGTGTAATTCATTTTGAATTATATGTATAGGCAGTCATAAGACAATTCAAGAAAACCTCAGTTACAAAGGACTAACCTTTTACATTAGGTCCACTGTATAATACAATCTCATTTTGCTCCTTGGTAATTATTTATTACTAGCTTGTTTTTGAAGGACAATTTGAAACACATATTTTTCATTGTAAATCGAAATTCATGAATTATCATTACTGAAAAATATCCATGCCAGTTTTCCTGTGAAGAATACCATACCATTAAATTGTATTTCATTCCAAGGTATAGAACCTGATTTTGTACAATGCAGATCCTGATTTTGTACAATGCATTAAATATCTCAATGAAATTAAATATTGCTGGTCAAGATTTTAATAAAAATATAATGTGGTATACATTGTTTTTATATTCTGTAAAGTTAAAGTGTTCATTTGTCAATCACACTTATATAAATATGGATTTATAAAGCTTTGTCATGGTGTTGGTAGTTATACTCAAATATTGTCCTGTTTCAATGCTTTTAATGGCTTCTGATGGTCATCATCACAGCTTCTTTCACACTCAATTTTACTTCTGCTTTCACAAACCTCTCACTTCTTTTCTTGCTATAGAATGGCTTCATGCATGCTAGATTGATGAGAAATGAAAGGAAAATATGAACTTTATGTAAGTTTTCATGTCAAAAATAATAGCAAAACGAAAAAAAAAAAAAAAGATTTTCCGAAATAAATCATGGATACAAAAACTTGTTATTACTGTATCCTCTTATATATCAAATATTGATGGTGATTTGCTTACAGAAACATAATGAACATTGGGAAAACAAGTTAATTCAAACTTGAATTAAAAGAGACAAATGTATAACAGCCTCCATTCTATATATCCTGTATAAGCACATCAAGAACATTGCTTACATTTGTAATGAATGGATCCGTCTAGAGTAATCTGCATATATACCCACAAAATCCTAGCTCTATTAGCCTTCAGCATGGGGCCTATCACTCTTTAACTTGCCCTCTGTCAACCTGAGGGAGCTTTGTCTATAGATTAGAATCTTATAAACTTCATAAGTCTATCTGATGGATGTTGCTTGTTATATCCTATATATCATTTTGGTTCATACACAAGTGTAGTTCATTTCATACACAAGTGTAGTTCATGTACATACAGATAAAGAGGCCAATGGTAAGCCATGTTCCACTGATTCTTGTTTCAAGTTTCAACTCTGAATTTGATAGTATAAAATCATAGCAAATGTGAAATAGATTTGAAAAAGGAGGTCCATAGGTCCTGTATCACTCACCTGACAAAATTGATTCCCTTTCACCAAAGAATGCTTCAGACCAAATTTGGTCATATTCCAACCATTCTTACAGGAGGAGTAGGATTTCAAATAATTTAGCCAATTTCATCAATTTCACCTTCAGGCTAAATGAGCTAAAAATTGTATGCTCGCCATCTTACTTTTTATCTTGCCTATTCACATCAAATTGAATGAAGGGAAATAACTCTTGTAGACCAAGAATATTCCCTTTTGGTAGAGATATAATATTCTATTCTGCAACACCTCTTATTTATAATTTAACTTACACTTTCATCACTTAGGAAAAAGTAATTGTGACCAAATAGAACAGGTGTGTAATACAGGGTCCTTGGCTGTTTTATATATGAATTATAATGAAAAAAGATTACAACAGAAGTCGGGAGAATGATTTATTTTTTAACATATCGACGTAACAATATTGCGCTGAATCGCAAAATAGATTATGTATATACAATATTAAGCATTGATTTGTTTTTTGAGGGATTAAAAAGAAATTGGAGTCCTGTATTAGTGATTTTCTTGTCGAACTCGCTCAAATTTTGAGAACTCATTATATCTCTTTGTAACTGGTCATCATGGGTCTCTTAAAAAAATTGAAAATGATACTCTGCATTCTGAGTAAATTCCTACAAAATGACACAGGGTTATAGCTCATTTTTCACGGAGTAAGAACGCAGTAAGTATATTTTATCACTGACATAGGTTTTTACGTACTCAGATTTTATTATTCGATGTTATAGTATTACAGCGCTGCTATGATACGTATGGTTTATATATGTGCATGATGGTGATACACTTGTGTGATCTCTCGTGGTTCTTGAATTGTAAGATCAGAGAAGTACCTGGTACATGTATTATACGTCTTTGTAAAGTATACAGCTGAAAAACCAACTACGCAGAATTGACTCATTTACATTACGTACTTATTATAAAGATACATGTTGGCCAAAATCCTGATTTAAAAAACAAATTCAACGGAATAAAGACTTTCATATTCGGGCTGAAATTTGTACATTTTAAACACGCATTCTCACAAAATACCAAGATTTAATTGATTTTTTTTTGTACAAAAGTTAGTATGATCAACTTGAAAATTACCTTACTTTCTACCGTTGGTTTATTTTGAAAAGCCTGATTGTATTAATAATTTTAACAAAAATAATAGAAGACAGTTAAATACAATCAGCAGCATCCTTGGCGCATTAGTTTTGAACCCCTTAAGAATCATTTCTCGCTAGCTAGCTACTCTATGTCAACGAAGTGCTACAAAACAAATACATAAATAAATTTAAATGTGTTCATATTATATGATAAAAAAAATCATCGGTGAAGCACCAGTATTTTTCTAAAAAAAAAAAAAAAAACAATCCACAAATCCGACCTCAAGTTTGCTCACCTGAAATGATCGACATGTGTATCGGACGTGTGAAAGAAATTCCATTTCTGACGCATCGCTAAATCACAGAGAAAGATAACTTACGGTGATCCAGAAGTACATATACAAATGCATTACATAAAATAATCATTTAAACGGGAATGATATTCTGATGAAAAAAAAAATTAACAAAAAAACATAATGGTGTGAAAATGGTTGATGTGTGCATCTTTTCTAAAGGGTTAGATTCATTTTTTATTTTTATTTATTAAATAAACCGTATTTCTTGGCAAACTTCCTTTTTTATAATACAAACTATTTAAATGATGGTTAAATTTTCATCGGTCGGTCTACAATTCGCTGGTCAATTAAAAATCAGAAATTAGTCATCAAAAGTGATAACCTAAAAATCACCACTTTTTAAAAATAAGACGTCCTTGTTTGGATCGAATGTCTTTCATTACAACATGTACTAGCAACCAAAATTCTCCTGATGCGAGGCCAAGTAGATCAATAGTTCAAGTGATACGGTTTGACAAATTGACCGTTCCGAAATATATAACGGTCTGGAGCCGATGTCTCGACGCTACTTTTACTGAATTGTATCTTTGTACTAAAATGATGTTTATATGGAGAACAGGAATGATATAAATGGTTTTCGGTGTAACACAGAGAATTATATACATACATATGTGGCCAACCATGAAATAGAGATGGATTAAACACCAATCCAGCGATTTGTAAACCAAGGGAGTTAACCATAATTTATTCAAGGGTTACTCAGGAATGTGCAATGTCAGACTCTGCTGTATTTATTATTGGCCGGACTCGTCTGTTTTTATGTTAACACAATGAACGAATAAACCTCCTTCAAACATTTCATGTTCAAGCTGAAAGCCCCCTTGTTGTTAAGATGTCCCTGAATTTGGTCCGATAGTGTTCGTACGTTTGTCCATGCACCTACCTCACCAAGTAAGGGGAAGCAACTGCATGACGTTAGAATTATAATAATGCAAAATTTATTATATTTTAGATAAATTGCTGTATATACATACTATTTCATATTACCATATTCTACAATATATAGTAACATTTCACTTTTGTGCAGATAAATTTCTTACAAAAAAGGTTATAAAGAGACACTTGACTCTGTATTTTGATTATTCTAATCAATTTCTACCAGCGCTTGAATTTATTGACAATAGTTTATAATCCAAAGAGTTTCCTTTCCTGGTATCGCTTCTCGGCCTTTTGGCTAAGATCAAAGTGTAGTATCTGTTCTTATCAGCTTAATATCTGATACGTGCCCCACCGGGGCACTTCGATATTAAACTGATTTTTGGACTTAGGTGAGATGTCAGGGGCTTGCTCCGCTCTTGCCACGGGTTGGCCCGGTATTGCAGTACCTCCGGGAACGGCCCACTCTCCCTTAGGAGAGTAAAAATCAAACTAAAACATTAGAATATACTGAACCGATCTTGTTGTTTTATTTACATTTCCCCCAAATTCATTTGAAACACGATGCTTTTGTGCAAAATAACGTTCTATCTTTTTCACACCAATATAAAGAAGATATTGAAATATTAGATATATACATGCACAAACTGAGAACGATCGCTCAAATAAAAGATACTGTCTCATCGCCCGTTCAGTCTTAAAAAGGAATTCTCTTGCTCACAAAACTTTTTCAAGATCCATTCATTTCCCTTCTATCCTATTCTTCTAAAATAAAAATAAAATAATCACACACACACACACACACACACACGCACGCACGCACACACACAAGCGATATTGTTTCACAATAACTTAAATCAAAATATATTTGAATCAATTCAATTCAATTCCACACACACACACAGAAAACATCTAGTAACACACATACATAACACTCACGCACACAACAAAAACGCCCTCACTCACGGCCAAAATAGTGCTTAATATAGATATACAATATCACCAGAGATGCTTCGCATTGTAAGGTATATAATGATAACGAGTTGGTATATTTTCTCTTTCTTAAAGGATATTAAACATACGGTACCTGACGATGGATTATTTTCTCGCAGGATGACGCCTTGTGTCAGATGATTATGATGAATTATAATGACAATATCAACTTCATATTAAAACCAATCACCCCATGTGCGGATAGTTTTCAATGATTTTGAATAATTTAACATCTTATATCTATTATAATTTTCAATGTGATGTATGTGTGGAAATATCTTAAATGTAATTAATCATCTCATTTTATACAAGTACAGTATTTCATATTAATGTCCTGTTTAGTTTTGAACCCAAGTTTTATTCTCTAAAAGTTTGACCGTTCTCTTTCAAATTCGGTATCGTTTATCACGACGTTTCCCTCCTGACTTTTTGAGACGAGTTTTGCAAGAGTTGTTTCCCTTCGGTAAAGTTTTTAGCATTTAACAGTTGACGAAAAGTTTGAGGAGAGAACGAAGGACATCAGTGTTTTGTTTTATTGTGTTAAGTCCTGGCAACCATCCAAGGTCATATTAAGGTGAGACACATCTTGTATCGAGGACGTAAAACCTAACAAAAATGTTTATTAGTAATTACAGAAATGATATAGTGTTTAGTCAGTTATTTTGGCGTTTCTTTTTTTTTTAAGAGATTTACAATAAGTACAAAGAAAATTAATACTTGCGAATATTTTATCAATGCGGGTAAAGTTTCGGCAACGGTTAGATATACTTGTCTACTTATTAAATTGTTGTATGACATAAGGTGATATGGGGATAAACAATAAAAAGAAAACAACAACAACAACAACAACAACAACAACAACAACAACAACAACAACAACAACAACAACAGAAAATCTCACCAGACAATGTGTTTGTTGGTCCTATTGAATCACTGTGGATCTTTCTTTCATTCCTTAAATCTGTGCATGCTATGGGTAAACATTCCTGAGGTGCTACCTCGTGTCGGCTCCAGCTCAAACAAAACGGGAGAACCCTCGAATATAACTCGATGTATCCCAAGGAAGGTGGTTAACGTGAGGTAGTGCTTACTGCATTCTGGAAACCAAAATTTTCTTCGTCGTTGCAACATAATACTTTTGTTTATCTCAAAATATTTCTTTTCTTTTATATTTGTCCCCGAAGATAGATTCTGTCTCTGACAAGCACTTATGTTATGATTTTATACCAAAAGATGACCGCACTTATACTACACGTCGATAGACAGAACATCGTCGGCTTGGAATCAAGTTTATCCAACGATTTCATCCTCGGTGTACACGGTGTTTTCTCACAAGATATACTTCAGTCGGCTTGTAGCTCATGACGATATCCTGCTATGGGTGGTCACAGTTCCAGGTGGATATCGAAACACGAGTTCAATAAGTATATGAAAAAGGTATGTCGGTGTACAGAGTGGAAAAGTCGAATTGTCAGAGAAGAAACGATTTTTGCTGAAAGCATCTCCAAAAACGATTAATTCATCAGTACCATGTAAATATTACACAGTGCCACTAATCCATCGAGGGATATCGTTTCGTTTAAATCAAAGACATTTTCAATGAAGTGCTTCAAATTGTAGCAATAGTCTTAATTGCTCTTTGTCCTGTCAATCTAAATGTATGCTTTATTTTCAGATTTTGTGTATGTATATTTTTTCTAGGGTAAGTTTTTGACCGAGATAACTTTTTCCTTATTTTCACCACGAAAACATCGGTGTTTGTGTTGGTAAAAATCACGTGAGTACAATTTCAACAAAGGTTCAATACGAAGCTCAGTTAGCAGCATGTTGATTTCATATGTCGAGTTATTCTGCTTATGAAATATGTCTTGTAAATATACCACATCAAATAGGAGAGACTTTAGTTGTAAAGTTCGAAAAAAATGGATGTTTAGGAGACCTAACATTTTTCGCTTGGTGATGAAACAGAAATGTCTATACAATGAAGATAAGTATATATATATATATAATTCTATTTTTTGTCCCTCTGCCATTCTACAAAAATGTTCCAACACGGTGTAAAGTAGAGAACATATTATACATTAAACATTCTAACCGTTACTTTGTAGATTTATGATGTCACCTTTTTTAAATATTAACAATTGACGAGAACTGAAAAAAAATCATTTAGCTTGGTTGGAAAAATATCACTCTCAAACTGAACGAGGGTATAGTTTATTTGCAACAGAACTTAAAGAAAGGGAGGGCATTTCTTGTTTCTAGACGAAAATAGTTTATAATTCATTCCGTTGGTTAGAAACTGCACGAATAAAAACAAATAAAAAATGTCTACCTCAATCGATTTAATACAGGTATTGGTTATCAGGGACAAGAGGTTTTCTATTAATTACGGTAGCGTATTACATTCACATAGGAATGCTTTTCTCTGAATGTAAAAATATTTAACTAGCGACCGCTTGAATCATGTGATAGCCGCCAGACTTGTTAACGCATTCAGGAAAAATCATATCCCTTTGTAAGCCTAATGCGCTTGCCTAATTAATCATATTTGTTAATATACAACTTATGTTGTGTACAGTCAGCACTCCAGTGGTAATCTAGTTTCACATCTTGGACACAAATCTTAATGTTAGAAAAAACAAAACTTGTAATATTAAATGTTTTATCGACAATGCGTTATTTTCATATCTATAGAATTTGACAGAATTTATCAATCTACCATCGTACCTTAAAATTGTTTTATATAAATTGTTTGTGTTGAGGTTACTAATTCCGGTAAACTGTCACTTGAGATAACCTTATTTACACGGGTAAGATATCTTAAAGTAAAGCACACACTTTGTTTTCATATTATCGATTTATTTGTTAGTTATCTTTATTAAGGTACATTTTCGCTCTTTTGATCTCGAGTTCCAACAACTGATTTCGCTGACGGGATGTATCGGACGATTTTTTGTTTGTTTGTAACGATTGTCGTCTCTGATGTTGTATGACCGAAAAGATTTGGATAAATTCATAAGGAGATACTTAAATTACATGCAGTGTACAGGAATGTGTATACATGGCTCTGTTTCATTTCGTACTGTAAGGGGAGCAAAACAAAAAAAGTTCATAACGATGACTAGATATTATATTTTTTCATTCTTGTTAACAAAGGATAATTTATATTAAGTAAAAAGAAACAAATTAAAAAATTCAATACTTAAGTCTAAGGTTAAAAGTTGACTTTTGCGAATTCATTTTACCATGTGACAGTTATCAGAAAGCATCCCTCCCGGTTCGCCTTTTTTCAACTAATGAATTAGGATAAATGTATTTTGATTAAGTTTGAATCAATATATATGAATAAATGATGGGACCAGTAAGTTAATCAATACGTACAAGCCCTGAATGTATATCAAGAAAACGGAAATTGATGATATTTCACATTATCGGACAAATTCAAGCATTATTATTATCAAAGAAATAAAACTTTATGCTACAAGAATATCAAACACTTTCATTTCATTGATTTCTGCTGTTGGAATGTCGCAATGCCCCTGTGAGAAAGGCTTTGGGTTCTGTAACTAGGCAAAAACAATCCTTATTCTATACTCCAAGCTTCACATTCTGTAGTGTGGTAGTTAAACGACTGGTTCGCTCGATGTCGGTATAATGTGACTTGGAGGGACCACTTTGTCCTGTTGTAGGCCTTCGACAATATATTTCAGTGTGGTAGCACTATAAAGTAGGACACGGTTCCGTATAATCACAAGGATGCTTACACCAATATACCACCGGAAGATTTGTCCTTAAATTACCCTGGCTGTTGATAGGACGTTAAAAGTACAAACTAAATCAAAGTATTGGATTAATAATCTTCACGACGAAATAGTTTCGCGCTTGTGAAAAAGATGAAAATTCCATTCCTACAGACATTAGATAATCTCAACATAAATTCTGGAAATATGTCTGTCACTTTTAAATCCTGAATAACCATCCGGTGAAGAAAATAGCGAAAACATATACAAGAATATATGTGTGTATCTGCTACACTACATACACATTTATTGTACTTGAGATAATTTCAATCCGACTTGAATATAACTAGCTATGCTATTATTTGATGTAATATTGGTAACAATACAGGTAACATACAGGGCTGTTACAGGTAATATACAGGGCTGTTACAGGACTGTTACAGGTAATATACAGGACTGTTACGGGTAATATACGGGACTGTTACAGGACTGTTACAGGTAACATACCGGACTGTTACAGGTAATATACAGGACTGTTACGGGTAATATACGGGACTGTTACAGGACTGTTACAGGTAACATACCGGACTGTTACAGGTAATATACAGGCCTGTTACAGGACTAATATACAGGATATACTGTTACAGGTAACATACAGGTGACTGTTACAGGTGACATACCGGACTGTTACAGGTGACATACCGGACTGGTACAGGCTACATACCGGACTGTTACAGGTGACATACAGGACTGTTACAGGTGATATACAGGACTGTTACAGGTAACATACAGGACTGTTAAAGGTGATATACAGGACTGTTACAGGTGATATACAGGACTGTTACAGGTGATATACCGGACTGTTACAGGTAATATAGCGGACTGTTACAGGTAACATACAGGACTGTTACAGGTAACATACCGGACTGTTACAGGTAATATACAGGACTGTTACAGGTAACATACAGGACTGGTACAGGTTACATACCGGACTGTTAAAGGTGATATACAGGACTGTTAAAGGTGATATACAGGACTGTTACAGGTAACATACCGGACTGTTAAAGGTGATATACAGGACTGTTACAGGTGATATACAGGACTGTTACAGGTGATATACAGGACTGTTACAGGTGATATACAGGACTGTTACAGGTGATATACAGGACTGTTACAGGTGACATACTTGGTTTTTTTTACAGGACTGTAACAGGTGATATAATGAATACATGTTAAAGGTAACATACAGGATTTTTGTCATGTATAAAACAAAACACTATCTACTAAAAATCCAGATGTTGTGTGGCTACAGTTTACAGCAAACATAACTAGCAGACATCTACTTGGTTTTTTTTAGTATATAATGAATACATGTTCCTACGATTTTTGTCATGTATAAAACAAAACACTATCTCTAAAAATCCAGATGTTGTGTGGAAGTTTACAGCAAACATCGCAGAATAAACATATATTTTAAACATGCTTTATGAAGAATAAAGAAAATCAAACATGAAAACACAAACTTGTGTTATTTGGCAAGAAGTATCCTCGGTGGCTGGTTTGAATCATGCAGTTCTTTTCCATTTTAAATGTATTAAAAGGTGATTACCTTAAGAAAAATATCTTTCTAGCTTTAAACCCAGCTTTCAGTGTTTATTTGCAACACGAATTTATTTTTGTGAATGTCACGTGCATAGTTTTTATCTAACCGTTTTACTGCAATCCAGTCACCTCGTCTGCATTACACGACGCATCAAATATAGGCGGCGCAACTGTAAAATACATATAAAACAATAATCAATATTCTAGTGTCATTATCCGGTGAAACCAGCGAGACCAAGGAAAAGAAAATGGAAGTAAAAATACAATATTGAGGCATAAACAATAAACAGGAGAATAACGCCTTTCAATAGAAAATTAAACATCACCATACAGTTTTGTCGTGATTCAAGGTCTTGTCTGTGATAATAAAAACTTAATATAAAGATAATAATAAAAATGAATGAAAGGGAAGATGAAAAGAAAAATATAACAGGTGAGATAGACTAACAAATACAATCGTAATTTTCGAAACACCTGATAATTTCATTAGTATACATTCTGACTAGTGCGAATACTAAAATGTATTAAAACGTTGAATGAAACTCCATCATACAGCTGGCCACTATTTTATATCAGGGCTGTCTCAATCTTTAACGTCAGTTCAACTTGGACTGATTCATAGTCACAGTTCAAAGCCACCCAAGACCACTGAAGACTACTGGTTAAATGACTTAATGATCTTTAATGTCTATATAAATTAGTAAGTAATTCACATCTTTTTACCAGCCACAAACCAAAATTTTGAAATTTTTAAATATCACATTTACAGAGAAAATCATGATATGACGATATACAACATATTCAATTTCTTTTCATAAGAAAATATAATTTGTAAAAATGAAGGATAGTAAGGAGATTATCTTGGTATAAACACAAACCTGATGTTTTACCGAACTGGTTGCCAAAATCATTTTTTCTAAAATAAATCGCAGGATTAACCCATTGCATTATTGCAATAGACGAATGTAGGATTTATCTCCATATGTTAATTTACTGTATTGATTGCAATCTGTTTCATTAGTTATTCTTACTTAACAGTTCAAGATAGAAACTCGAATGATTTTATAAAAAGAAGGAATAATTTCTGCAAAGAAACCTCACACGATATGACGTAGAAATCTTACCAACAACAGCTACCCTTAGTGCACGCCTCGCAGTTCAGGGAATACAGCAGTACCTCGGACTCGCCCCCAATAAACGTCATCAGATCACTCTTGTTTTTTCCCTCCTGGAAAATATTAAACATTCTTAAAGATACATGTGCGTAACGGTCTTATGAATTTATACTTTAACTAGCTGCAAATCTGGTCAATACCGTAATATGCTCTTCTCGTGCAAAACATAGCGTACTTCCCAAGACAATTGAAATTTGGCACCAACGTAAATCTACGTAAAAAATAATTGTAAAGAATTACTTTTGAGAAATATATGTCTTTTCATAAGCTTAATGTTATATATAACAGTATACATGTAACTTATTACCATGATATCTTCATAGGTTGTGTTATAAATGGCGATGAACACATTCAATGTGATGATAGTGAAGAGGAAGATGAAGAGAGTAATGAATATGACGTTGAACCAGTAGGCGACTTGGCTTTCCTCGTCAACAGCGGTCATTGTAACGTACACCTCATCGCCGTTCATAAGAGCCAGCAGGCATTGGAATGTTGCGGTAAACGACAAGAACTGCGGAAAATAGCATATCCAAGGTAAGTCATGGAGATATCTACAACTGTCGATTTTATATATACATATGTAGTTGCTAGTCAAATAGGGTACTACAAAAGAAATGTGTATATGTTATTATATGGATTATCACTATCATACATAAACAACATCAAAGAAAACATCATAATGGCAACACTATTATATCCAAACTCAGATTCAATAAAACTAAGATAAGACAAGTAAAAAGAACAAGGAGAATAAAACCAGATGTTCCGGAAGAGTGAGCGTCTTTTGCTTCATCAACGACAGCTGCCATGTAAATAATGGTCGATTCCGAATTCCGAATGAGAACCAAGTTAACAATATTAGGTGCCAACTGCACACTAATAACATCAAACTTGTCCAGCTTCAAACCACATAAAGAAATAAATCATTTTCCAACCAGATCATTATGAAAACTTTCCAATCATTTCCATCGATCTAATTCTCTCGAAACCCTTGTTTAGATTTTGGTTGTCGGTTGCTGACATTTTGCATGAAAATCGTGAAAACAATCCATTGAAATCTAACCAACTGCGACAAAGATTGAGGATGCAGGAATGCTGCTCTCCAGAAACTGGAAAATTCTTAAAAAGGGAAATTGAAATAATCGCGCTTGTTATACAGCTTGTCCCTGCAATTTATTGTTATTTAAAGTCAAGACATCAGCAATACATGTGAAAGTTAAATTGACGGACTTGCAATAAGCTCTTCGATAAATTCAGCTTTGCACACTGTGTTTCCATAAGCATTCCAGAAGTCTGTTGGAAGATATTAGCTCAAAACGTGATCAGTTATGAACATTATGTTTACAATGTTTTCTTCCCTGTATTTCTCCGTTGACATGCATGTAGATTTTGTTACGAAATACGCTTCATTATATAATTCACCACTATATCGTTGTAGAAAGCTCTCATAAAAATGGAAAGGGGCATGGTAGTATGCAAAGTGAAAAATAAAAAATTCAGTCTATTTAGTTTTTGTTTAATTCTTATTTTTTGATGTTTTTCCTTTTTTTTTGTTTCATCCACTCTCTGCCACAATTTTGCATTTTGTATTTTGAAATTCACATTCCAATTTATGAGAAGGGTTCACGATACTTTGAACCCTTCATAACAAGCACTTAGCTTAACGTCAAGAATGATGCTTAAGTCGCCAGTTATTAGATGTGCGCAGATGGACCAAAGTTATAAGGAGAATATCTAATCTGCTTTAAACTTATAGAAGCCAACAGGCCGTTAAGTAGTATAAAACAAAATAATATACGAACGAAACTTTCACTTGAATTATTAAAAATAACTGAACATGTAAATACCATCGTCAAATAGTTAGTTTCTTTCAAAATTACTGAAAATATCTTGATTCACCTTCAGATGGTATGGCCCAAGCACCGCCCATCCACACAACGCGAACCCGAAGTACATGACAAAAATACAGACTAGGAAACGCAGTATAGACGTGGCTGATCTGTCTAACACGAGGAATAACAGCTGAAAAAAATCGAATACAGATTTAGTCGAATATCACATTGACTTACTGAATAGCATCGCTTAACAACTGCTTTCATTTTAACACACCAACTCAGTTGCTAAATAAGAATATTAGTTCGCTGTCAACAATACTTATCGAATTATTAAGAAAATTTAAAATTTCGAAACTATTTGAAGTCTAAAATCTGTCAGCGTGGCTACTTTGGCCTTAATTCTAAGTGACATCCAGGCTAAATTTTGTCGTAGTTATTTAATGGAGTTATAATGACATTTTCCCGTTTATTTATATTTGACATAGTAATACAACTGACACAGGAAGACAATTTTTGACTAGTATCCTGTCCGGGCCTCGAGCTCAAGATCTTCAGCACCAAAACGCCTAGCCAAGAAATTTCAAACTACCGTAGCATTTATAAATTCATAGGTTTCAATTGTTTCCCAATTTCACTTTGCAAATCCATTTCTCGAACATTTCGTGTTTAATTCGATGAAATGAACCCATAATTTGTGGACAGTCTATACATGAACTTAGCTGTTGCCAAGCAAAAACCCTTCACATTCTTAACACATAATCTCGGTACAGATTATCTTGGGACTTACACTGAAGACCTTGTTGAAGGCTAAGTAGTGAAGAGATAGCATCCACAACATCAAACAGCCAAGTCCAAGCAGGATTCCACAGGCGTCCAAACTTTCAGATGTGGCCAATTGCTGGAACGTCAAAGTTTAACAAAATACACACAAATTAAGGATAAGATACAGTATTAATTGAGACATTTTCGAAATACGTCAGAATTCTTTTTAGAAAGTTTTTTTATTAATCTTATCACTTAAAAAATGTTCTTTAGAAGTTTAAAATCTTACAGTCAGGGTCATACGAAACCGGATGTCTCGGTAGACACCAACAATCATATGAAAGTGGATGTCTCGGTAGAAAGTGGATGTCTCGGTAGACACCAACAATTATATGAAAGCGGATGTCTCGGTAGATACCAAAAGACGTAGTCATATGAAAGAACGATTAATCTGGGTTATATGAAAGCAGATGTTTAGAGAGACACCAAACAGCCTGGGTCATATGAAAGCCGATGTTTAGAGAGACACAAACAGTCAGGATCATATGAAAATTGGTGTCTCGTGAGACACTCACAGCAAGTATCAGGTGATGACGGTTGTCTGGAAAGACACCCACAGCCAGGGTCACATGACAGCAGTTGTCCAGAGAGACTCTTACAGCCAAAGTTATATGAAAACGGTCGTCAGTGAAAACAACCACAGCCAGGGTAAGATGAGACCGGTTGTTTAGAGATACTTTAACAGCCAGGATCATATGAAAACGGATGTCTAATTAAACACCAAGAGTCAAGGTCATATGAAAACGGATGTCTTAATGAAAGGAAAAATGAGATAAGTGCTGCAATCGGAACAGTGTATCAATTTGAGTTTCTTCATTTTCCCGTTATCCCCAGAAAAACACAAAGAAGAAAAAAATTTCCGAATTTGTCTGACTCTCTAAATAAGCTCGCTCTTACGACGCGCATTGAGGTACAGTAAGCATACTCCTCCCCGCTCATGACTCACAACCAGAGCGCGAAAAATGTTTGTAGCAATTGCGATCATTATACACTACCGAGTCGTATTGGTGTGACTATTACCAATGTCATTTGACAACATCAATGGCTCAATCAGTATGATATTTATAACTTTTAACTATCAGGACTTTTCTGTACGTACCTCAAACAACATTCGAATCAAAACGTGATCAAGGTTTTGCAAAATAGAGCGTAACCTATTCATTACTCACCCCTACGTCATAACGTATCTTGATGAATGAACCAAGGATGGTTAAAAGACCACTAATTACAAGCATGACGTCACGGAATCGTAGTATTTCCCAACTTCCCCTTTTTGACAATGGTTTGTGCTCTTTGTTTTCGCTTTGTTGTGCTCTCAGCTGGAAAAAGTGCTTCACTTCCTAAAAAACAAATATTGTATGTACACATCAACGTATATGTATATATAATTGCAATGTGTAATAAAAAATGAAATTCTGAATATGTATAATGTAAAAAAATCTGCATAATAAATTAGTTGTGCGCTTGATATTTCAATTTCTGCACTTCCACATGGGAATTCGGTTAAAATTATACTTACTAGCCATAATATACAGGATGTTACGAAGGATCGAACACTGGCTATGATGCTGAGCAAATTCGCTACGATCACCAGCACTACCAGTGGAATATCTTTACTTCTGTCTGTTATGGTAAGAAAATATATGTACTGGGATAAAGGTTTGTTTTGGCTGAATGGATATAACATAAAGAAATGGACATGACAAATATCGATGACGAAACAAATTCAAACCACAACATGAAACCATGTTATGTACAATGACAATATTATCGGATATCTGTTTTGCTTGCATGGGGATTTACGCTTGAAAAATGCTCACGTTCTATAGAATGACCCCCAATAGTGTCATTACATAGATTTATTTCAGGGCTTCGTAGCACTCTAACATGGGCAATCAAGTCTTAATAACATCCTACACAGTCTTATCCAAGAATACTTATCGACGATACAGAGATCGTCAGAACCTTTAGTGTAAACTAGTCAAAGATACCATGCACTGAGGAAGAGCTCGTGCGAAGGATGGAATTTGTGCTTCCTGATAAGAAAATATCAAATGTTTGATATTTCGAACAGAGAGTTCGGTTTGCTAACCAAACTCTTAAACGAGGGTCGCCATGTTCCAATTCACCGGACACGATCTATTATTTTTCCTTCTTGTGAAAAAAGTCGCATTTAGGAAGATGTTGTCATGAACTGTACACGTCATTAAAAAGGTGAGTCGGAGACACTGTCTAATCACACAGTTACGCAACAACAGATGAATGACACGATCCTATCTAAAGTAGCTGTCATTTTCTTAACAGGAGTGAGTTATCTTTTCATCAGGAAAAACGGAATCATCCTGTAATATATGTAATAAATATACTTTCGATGCTGCTCGTTTCAGTGAAGTATTATGTAAGGAAACTTTGTCAATCTACTTTTACAATTCTGCCCATGTCAGTCTTTTGTTTTATTTTGTCGTCTTATCAAGTAGTTTTGATTTCAAATTATGGTTAGTTGGTAGTGATTATATACATGTATATAAAGAATTAAAATTCATGAATACCCACCATTGTTCGCAGATTCCCCTTCACACTCGAAACCATTAATGGATGTTGTCAGGGTAACTGGAATCTGGCCATGGATTTCGTAGTTGTCAAAGGTAACCTACTCGGAATTGATATACAACATTCAGTTGATAGAATACAATACCTGGTATATACTTAATCAGGTTACAAAACATTAGCCAGTTGTGGATTCGTCAGATTTCCAAAATTTGAAAACCTTGCCGCTCAGATTTTCTATCAGACCATTTAGGGATGCCGCGTTATCGCGGAAATTGAATCATTTCTTAAGTTTTAAATTACAAGAGGTCCCCTACTTGCGTAAGATTCATTTCTGAGACGACCTCAAAAGACGTATTCTGTTCGATGTCACTACTAAAGATATTAAGTTTTAATTCTTTTCGTTATTTAGTTTACCCTGTCTGTCGGTCTCAGTCCATACACTCGTCCTCAAACGGCTTCAAAAGTATGTTAAACAAAAGCAAAGTCCACATCACTTTTAAGCTGGGTATTCTTAAGTCGAGTTGGAACTCGTTTTAGAATCACAACTGTTGAATGATGTACGCAATCTGGAAAACCTACCCTGCCGATTATTTCAAAGCATTCCGGAGGCCTTTCCTCTCGTCTCATATCCACATGAATTGACGATATACTGAAGTCTAACGTCAGCTCTAAAAGTCTATAAAAAACATAGTGAACAGTAAACAGGCTTAAAACAGGTTTTAATCGGGATCCTAAATTCCGATGTTCATGAAGAAGGATGTTCAAAATTATGATACCATAGCAAACGGAAAGACCAAGTTGATATTTATTTAAACAAGCATGTGCAATGCATGAACTGTTACCCTTCACGTGATCTAACAACTGATTCCGGTTGTTCAAAAGCTGGTCAGGGATAAGCAGCGATTAGTTAAATTTTCATATATACACTAAATAAAACTCAGTTGAACTCATTGTTTGGCTCTATGGTATCCTAACTAAATTTGCATTAAATGGTGCGATTCACTTAATGTTTTTTTGGTTTTTTTTTTTTTTACATTCTTTGAATAAGTGGAGGCTGGTGTCAATGTCATTGGTTTCAAGAAAACGCGAGGAATCAAAGTTTGGCTTATTTTGCTCCAAATTTTACGTCATATTTGAGCTATAACAACGAGATGACATTACATTTTAAATTTGAAATGCCAAAAAAGCAACATTGTGCTGAAAATGCTTCCAAGAGGCATCAAAAGCGACGAAAAATCTACTGTAGATTAGGTAATTGCGCATGTGTGCGGAGTTCATCCATAAATTAATATGTCCACGAACTATTAAGATAAGTTCAAGTAGATTCGAGGACTCCAGGTATAGATTAATACCTACCGAACTAAAACGCCATTCTCGCTTGTTATCAGGTCATCAAGGCTAGGATGTAGACCGTAATTTGTAGTGTTGGCTCCGACATCCTTACATTCTGCAAAGATTTAAATGATCATTAAGTTAATTTTAGCATGATTAAATTCTATTGAAATGTGAAAGGTCGAATTCGCCACGTAAACAAAAGATTTCTTTTACCATGTTACTACAACAGATAATGCTCATTTCCCACACTGTCTTAACGAAAAAATTCTGACAATCAATATCTGTTGTTCTCTGACGCTCAGCTTCATGTGATTTGGCAGCTATGAGATGAGGAAAGGTGTCACGCTACCGTGTCCAGGCTACGACATTGGAGACCGATGACATTGCATAAATGGCCGTAAGTGGCACCATTATCCCTGAAGCCCGTACATCAGCAACGCTGTAGCACTAGGAACAAGCGTTATCTATAATTTTAATTCACACAGGTTTTATACAAAAAGCACAGAAATTCGTGCTTCTCTCTTTGAAGTATCAAGTACCATTGTGCATACACGTATTATTGTCTGATATAACTTACTAGAAGGTCAGACATATCAATGTCAGTGTAGTCGGATTTAACGATATTCTGCATTTCACGAAGTAATAAAATCCCCCCCTCTGGACCCATTGTAAACTTATATGAATTTTACCTGTATTTACGATGTACTGCTTTGTACCATGTGATTTGAGGGTCCCCGCGCATGACTGATTTCTTTGCAAAACTGTGTCATGATTTTAAATCACGGACCTGCATCTGTTCTGACTAAGCTAACGTTTATAGTGAACGAGTCTAGTGTACTACCTGAATACTATTATGTGTAAATAAGTTGTTTTATTAATGAATTGTAAAACTTCACATTTTACCTTGGTTGTAGTTATGCTGACATACAGTAGCATGTAAATACTTTTTTGCCGCCTGAATACACTTGCTAATAAGGTCTACACATTGACCAGGTGAAAACTGAACTGGTGTCGTGTTTCACGGAAGTTCGGTTTCTACGAAGTAATTTTGATGGTCCCACAGACTTCTCAAAAAGCACTGTGATACGTGTTTCCCTAGTCAGGTCAGGTTTTATATAATAAGCATAGTGATGCGTGTTTCCCTAGTCAGGTTAGGTTTTATATAATAAGCAGTGATACTTACGCGGTTCCCTAGTCAGGTCAGGTTTTATATAATAAGCATAGTGATGCGTGTTTCCCTAGTCAGGTTAGGTTTTATATAATAAGCAGAGTGATACGTGTTTCCCTAGTCAGGTCAGGTTTTATATAATAAGCAGTGATACTTACGTGTTTCCCTAGTCAGGTCAGGTTTTATATAATAAGCAGTGATACTTACGTGTTTCCCTAGTCAGGTCAGGTTTTATATAATAAGCAGTGATACTTACGTGTTTCCCTAGTCAGGTCAGGTTTTATATAATAAGCAGTGATACTTACGTGTTTCCCTAGTCAGGTCAGGTTTTATATAATAAGCAGTGATACTTACGTGTTTCCCTAGTCAGGTTAGGTTTTATATAATAAGCATAGTGATGCGTGTTTCCCTAGTCAGGTCAGGTTTTATATAATAAGCAGTGATACTTACGTGTTTCCCTAGTCAGGTCAAGTTTTATATAATAAGCAGTGATACTTACGTGCTTCCCTAGTCAGGTCAGGTTTTATATAATAAGCAGTGATACTTACGCGGTTCCCTAGTCAGGTCAGGTTTTATATAATAAGCAGTGATACGTGTTTCCCTAGTCAGGTCAGGTTTTATATAATAAGCAGTGATACTTACGTGTTTCCCTAGTCAGGTCAGGTCTTATATAATAAGCACAGTGATACGTGTTTTACTAGTCAGGTCAGGTTTTATATAATAAGCATAGTGATACGTTTTTCCCTAGTCAGGTCAGGTTTTATATAATAAGCAGTGATACTTACGCGGTTCCCTAGTCAGGTCAGGTTTTATATAATAAGCATAGTGATACGTGTTTCCCTAGTCAGGTCAGGTTTTATATAATAAGCACAGTGATACGTGTTTCCCTAGTCAGGTCAGGTTTTATATAATAAGCATAGTGATACGTGTTTCCCTAGTCAGGTCAGGTTTTATATAATAAGCAGTGATACTTACGTGTTTCCCTAGTCAGGTCAGGTTTTATATAATAAGCATAGTGTTACGTGTTTCCCTAGTCAGGTAAGGTTTCATATAATAAGCACAGTGATACGTGTTTTACTAGTCAGGTTAGGTTTTATATAATAAGCAGTGATACTTACGTGTTTCCCTAGTCAGGTCAGGTTTTATATAATAAGCACAGTGATGCGTGTTTCCCTAGTCAGGTTAGGTTTTATATAATAAGCAGTGATACTTACGCGTTTCCCTAGTCAGGTCAGATTTTATATAATAAGCAGTGATACTTACGCGTTTCCCTAGTCAGGTCAGGTTTTATATAATAAGCAGTGATACTTACGTGTTTCCCTAGTCAGGTCAGGTTTTATATAATAAGCAGTGATACTTACGTGTTTCCCTAGTCAGGTCAGGTTTTATATAATAAGCAGTGATACTTACGTGTTTCCCTTGTCCGGTCAATCTTTATAACTGGAGGATCAAACGTGCTGTTAAAGACTCCAGATTTAAAATAAGTAGCACATATTCGAAGTGGAACCGTCGAGTTATTAGCATTCAGAAGAAAAGTTCCAACGGCTTTCGTGGGTAAGGAATGAATCTGAAAAGTTAAGTGCGCCACAGTGTATACAAATTGAGCCAAACACGTACAGATCAATGAAAAATCAGTGTGACAATTTCGATTGCACATTTGTGGTCATGGTAGACTGGCTAGACAAACGATGTGTAATAGTTATCGCAATTGAAATATACACGCGCAGTGCACATTCCCTGATCAAGTCATAATCTGATATTCAAGATACATCAAGCTACCTTTTTAGTAATACTAATAGAACGATTTTTCAAGTCAAACTAATGTGAAATATCTGCAATGTTATGCATTGTATGTTTTGACGTTTTCATCAGGTCTTTTTCAAACTAATTAAGTTTTATCATCGTGACACGACGTTGTGCTTTCCTGTACGAGCTTTAAATCTACTAGTTTCGGAAAAGTTACTGCACATAATCTTTCAACTTGGTAGCGTTTATCGTACCAGCTGGACAGCAATGTAAATGATATATTAAGTCCCTCGTAGTCCGCTGTCCAACCAACTGTCCCAAAATAATTCTTGTTATCGATAGTCTTGGTCCCTGGAAGTGCTTGTTAGTATGTCGGTATACTGTGACCGGGTGGGTGTCCTGTCTTTCAATGGTTTTGGATGGTTTTGGTTTTCTAAAATGTCATATTTATTCAATCATATTTCGAGGAACTTATGGCGCTTTTTTCTTATATGTCTATATAGTCACTATAGTCTTGACCAGAATTCTGTTCTCAGTTTTTGACCAATCTTTTTAAAACGTAATACACATACTTTAGTTTTGAAGAATTCTTGCACTTTGTTCTTTTAAATTTTTTTCTTGTCATCTTCAGTTTTCAACCAATCCCCATTTCACCCCATCCAAGCTCGATAGACTTTGAAAATGAAATTTGCTTTATTCAGACTCATATTGTTTTGACATTCAATGTTTCAAATGCATATTTGGCATCCTTTTTTTATAAATTAATATATCTGGGCATAAGTAACCTATAGTAATCTCTTAACTGTTTTTTTTAAACACACACACATTATCAGTACGATTTTTAAAAATCACCCAAAATTACACGCACTCATCTCACATACATCGAGAAACCTTCTCTAAATCGATATATTTGTAGATTGGGCGTAAAACAAGTAAATCAAAAAACATTTCCGTTCAATTTTGACAAATTGCCAAATTAATACCTCTGTGACTGTTAGAAACGGTGTCTACAATTTTTATAAAATGGCATACATACACCATTAACAGCATATTCTACGTGGTCCTTGAGATCGTCAATGGTGTAGACAGCGTAGGTACCCGTTGTCGGTGGGTACGGCATCGTCTCGTAATCTTTGGACCAGTTCTTCAGCAACAGATGTCTCAGGGCGATGTTGTTTCGGTTTAGAAAAGTAGCGAAGTGGGACCGTTCGTTGGCAAAGATGATTAGCTGTTAAACAAAACAGTATAACTGATACGTTGTTTGATAATTGTGTCTTTTGTTTTATGTGAGTTTTTTTCTTGTAATTTAAAGTTACCGTCTTTCATTGCTAAACTAAATATCTACTTAGTTAATTTCAATTTTTCGTTTTCTTACCTATCTATTTTCCTCAGTATAATTTTTTATGAATGTCGAGCAATTTATTTAAAAAAAAAATTTCACAAAAATCTTGCCACTTTTTTCTTGATATTTTCCAATGGATTTTGTATTTTTTTTTCTAATGAAAAAACCTAACAGTCAATGGCGAGAATAATTCAGCAACTAGTATAAAACCACCGAGACCGATGGAAACATATTCATTGAAGTCACAACGATAAACCTCCATTTTAACTACATCAACAAAGAATGTTCTCCCGTTAACTGCTGAATAAAATGTACGAACTCCTGTTATTAAACACCGTGAGACTTATCGTTGTTCATGGTTAGGAAACAAATGTGAAATATACATATTTGATTTAAAAAAATATGAAATGAAGATAATTTACCTGCAAAGTGACAAGAATCACGTTAACTATAAGCAGCAACATCTTAGAAGGGATTTTCTTATAAATTTTTTTATTCCTCCAACAACGAGCCATCGTGTGACTAAAATGTAACACCAGTTGTATTCGCAAGTCCTCCTGTGTTTTTTTCCAATCACAACACCATCGTGATTCCTGTTGAATATCTTGTTGATCCCCAGATTCATTCTGCACACCAGCACCGCCTTCCTCCATTTTTGCACCATCCTTTTTACCGGCAGAATTCCGATCTGTTGTGGTTTCCTGTTGCACATTAACGATTTCGTTTTTGGCGCTTGCACTCACTTCCTTGACGCCATCACTGTGCTGTTGTGACGTAGAAGCATCCGACACGTCATCAGTCGCGTACAGGTTAACAGAAACATCCTTCACGTCAGCAGCAGCAATGTGTTTCTGTCTTGCAGGTCTGACGGGTGACTCCTCTTGTGTTTGTTCAGCATTCATTTTGTTTGGAGGTTCGTCTGAGAGAGTGGTATCTGTTCATTATATAAATTTGATGAAAAGGCATCAGTTTTAGACAACAAACCGGCAGAGTACAAGCGTTTTTTTTTTTTAATTTAGTCATCAATACACGTTCGTTTTACCAGACCTCGAAATCTTATTTCAAACCCAAAACCAAATCTTTGTAGATAAACTTACGGATTTTCCTTGAAATGTCAACAAAATCTTCTTTTCAACTCAAAGATAATGAAACCAGGTCAAAATCTGAACAAATGAAAGATGTACGCGGAGACCCATAAAACGTTCAGGCTAATAAGGCAGCGTGTGTTAGAAGGGAAGATGTCTTCTTTTTCATCCCGCCATTTAAACCTGGTTCCAAATGACACCACTTCCATAAATGATAACAAGGCAAACGATTATCAAACACGTCCTGCTTTATATCGCACAAGAAAATAGAATATTTCTCACTGAGATCATTATGACGACCGTAAAACTTCTCCAACATGTTCATCAATCTGCCTCTTGCAACAGGCGACATCTGACACGCAAATTGCGTGATATTAGGAACAATTAATCTGTTGAATGTCGGATATCAAATTCACAACAGGGACATTACAATCGTCATGCTTCCCTAGCTTAACTGGAAAATCGTCCCTGTTGGTTTCGCTTTAGGTAAAAGTCAGTGGCTGTCAGATTATGTCGTGACCTTGATATCAAATTCCAGTACATATACACTAAAACATTAATTAGTACTATCTCTTGTTATTTAAAGACAATATCTCGCCAATATATCTCAAAATGAAATTGAACGATTTGGGCCGGTCTTTGTGATCTGGCTCTCTAATGAATTCATTGACGTATGAGAACAAAAACTTGTAATCTAAAAGAGGTGCATAGTTTAAAATACCAATAGTCTATTTGAAGATCTTACAACCAAACTCAAATACAAAATACAATAGTGTCAACGCCTGAAATACACACATCGATTTTTCATAATCAGCACCACACATGGGGAAAATAAACAAAAACGGTAAACAAAAACGATAAAGAAACAAATTACAAACAGTTATTGTACCAACACTGATGGATAGATAGCGTATGGACTCAACCAACTGCCGGTCGTTCTAAATGTTTACAGTTATAAGAAAGTATTCCCTCATTAAAAAAAATCCGCAAATCTTGATTTCCATGTAGTAATGATTATTTGAATATCATTGGAATTTTTAAGCAATCCAAGACTCTCTCATTGATACAAAGTGCTGTTTTAGCGGGTATCATCAATGAAATATAATATGCCTACCCTTCCGGAACACCTGGGCTTCCTGTACTTATATGACAATATTCGGTAGTCGATTCGCCGCTTTCGAGTTTTAATTAAGATCTTCTCAACGTGTAAATACTTTGCTGTTGTTTTCATTGTCTGCAAAGTCGCTCTTGGTTGCTTACCAGCTAAACTTTTCAAAGTGAACGGTTCAAGCACAAGGGCCGACCTAAAATGGCGATATGTATTTAACGGATCTGGGTACTTGTGTCATCACACAAACATGAAGTTGTATAGTTTTGGCTACTCTGTGGACATCCAGTGTTAGTTTGCACGGAGATTCTTCAAGATCAACTGCATACTGTTTACTTATCCATTAAGTCAGAACGTGTGTGTGATCTTAGTTGGGGGTCAAAATCGAGAGGGGTATGTAAGATGGAAAAAAATCAATACTGTTCAAAATTCTAAGAACTCGTTTGATTTAAAATAGGAATTTTTGTAAATTGTGCGTTCTACTTGATAAGGATCGGTCCGGTTTTCAAGTTTGAAGTTTATTTATTTCACTCAGGCACACATGTAAGCGTTACATGAGGTCAGCCAGACTCTGTATTAGTTATAGATATATATTGACAGTGCAATTACATGGTATGTACACATATATATCATTAAAGAAACTGCAATACAGATTGTCTAAACGATAACAAATATTAAATATACTTAGATAGTGACACTGCAGCTACAATGCATTTAAGGATTGAATCTTGCTTATGTCGATTTCATGGGATAATGAATTGAGTTGGTCTTGAGACAAATTTGATGAACTGCGAATTTGTCTCAAGACCAACTCAATTCATCATCCCATGAAATCGACATAACATGATTCAATCCTTTTATTTCAATTCACGCTTCTTGTTTCTATAGCATGGGAACTGACGCAATTTATCTTCTACTTTCATTTTTGTTTCTTGTCATCATATAGTCTGACGTCATACAAGCAAATAGTCCGTCATTTGAAGACAGATTATTGTGACAGGTTGAAATATATTTCAGCGTGGTTACTAAATATTCAATGAAACTTAAATAAGAACAAAATTCGATATATTTTTCGACAACTTTAATGAAAATTTAAATAATAGTCTCTACTAGACAAGCAATATACCATAAGTATGAGATTTAAAAACATCAAAATAAAAATTTAATTCAACATTTGATAACTGTAACTTTACGTTTCAAAAGATGTGAAGAGACTGAAGCCAGATATTTCTTGCTCTCCGCGTCGGTGCCTGTAAACGAAAAGGCCGACACCGCTTCGTTTGCGAATCGGCGCACCACGTCTAAACGCATACTGTCTTTGTTGCACACTATTATTTAATATTACGAATTCAAAACGGCATTTCGTGACGGTTATTACTGTCAGCCGAGAGAATGAGCACAGTAAGTTGGAGTATATAAAACTTCTACGGGTGGATAATCTATGGAAGACAACCTAAACGATCTCCTAATAACGATTATTTACACGTCGTGAAAATCTCTACTCGACATAATGTCGAGATAACCGAACAGCAGATTGACATAATATCTACCTTTCGAGATATTACTCAAAACTGAAACTTCACTCATGCCGTTCCTTGTGTAAACATTTATCAATGTGATGTAATTTTTTTTAAATCAACAAATATGTGTCACATATCTTTAAGAAGACTTAATCCTATCTCATACATAAGTGCCAGTTTAAAACATCATGTTTCGGAAAGTTTACACTACAAAAAAATATATTCTCAGGGTTAGAAAAATCAACTTGTCCGCTCGTATAGACGAGTCAAAGCAGAGACGTATATATATACGTCTCTGGTCAAAGCTACTTGCGGGCGAGTGATTTGGTTCAGCTACTTGTCCGGCGGGCGAGTGAAATTTGTAGTTCTGACTATTGGATATTCCATAATAAATGACGTTTATTAACTTAAACACTCTTAAATCTAATTTAGATCCACCGATAGTCGATCAAATACATCGATGTAGTACCTGTTGATTCAGACTACGCGAAAACGCGAAAACCTATTACGTCACCACACCAATAGCTGAAAATACATTTTTCTAACCCTGATTCTCTCTTAAAAAACATTTGCACATGCACAGGTATGATTCTGCCACCAAGAAATTCAATAAATATCTTTAAAGCAAAGGGTAGCTGAATTATATCCGACATCAAACATATATGTAAAACGTAAGAACATTCTTGTCTCCCCATTTCTATGTCAGGAAAATCCCAGATACCTATACATGTTGAAATTTTGCTCAAATCGATACGTCACCAATAACTGCAGTGAAAACTTGTACATAAAATTATGTATGTTGTATACCCGGAACCGTTGTTGATTCGAAATCGACCATACCACATGATTACAAAAAATATTGCTAAAAACAATCGGGAATATCTACATCACCAGACAATAAAGATTTAAACAAGATTGGACGCCGATAATATAGGACAGCTCAATCTGTCTCACAACATCCGGTTAGCAACCAACACACGTAACATCACACAAAAGTGCTGATCTGCATTCTCTGTGTTTATATATAGATATATAGACAACAGCTAACTACCTTATATAAACATAGTTACGGTCCTACCTTGATTTGAGTGATTTTTGCTGACAATTTGCACCGGTGAATCTGGTCTCTCTGTTGGTTTGAATTGACTGCCAGTTGTGAAGTACCCGGCTGGAAATGATCATTTCAGTTCCGAGAAATAAGGCTGTATTCATGAATATCAAGTTTACGTCAGAATTACACATGTAATCGACAAATTTTCTCATGTGTAGCCGGTTAGTCAACACAATACACATACCTGATTATTGACTAGCCAGGGACACGTCGCCAGAACCTCAGAGATAGGAAGAGTCACCGAGGCGGAAAACCTGTACTTTTATACCCAACCAACGAATTAGCCATTTGTACGGCCAACCTGTTCAAATCACCTCGCTTCCTGTGGTCCGCCAATCCGTCCGTTCCTCTGTCACCTAAAATATCTTATCGCTATTTGATGAGAAATCGAAGATCGATGAAGTTTTCAATTTGTCGACTTATCAGGAAAACAACATAGCTGATAATAGCGCCCCCCTCCCCCCTTTTTTTTTTTATCAAGTTCGACATTTTTTCACTGAATGCACGTGTCAGTTTTTTTGAACGGATAATAACCATAGGCAACTATCTTTCATTATTTGACCTTTAAAGTACTTGGATTGTCATTATCACTTTCTGTATGTGTAAATTCTATCTGTACGTTTCCCCCTTTAAAAATAGTTACAGTTGTCACTATATCATTGATCCACATGTTAATACATTTGAGTGTCGAAAGAGGATAAGATCAGCCTTTTTGTATGGTAGGGGTTATCTTCCCGCTTATCGCCAGTGTTATTTTGAGGTAACGTCTCCTTCCACTTGTTGGTGACTACCTCACTGAACAAAGTATTAGAGGCCCATCAAATGCCATCCAAAGCAACTAGGGACGGTGTAATGCACAATAACACAGCCTCGTCAGCTCGGTCTGTTTCTCGACTACCCAAGATACGGAGGTAGATTTCTTCTACAATGGCACGAGATTTGTGTGTTGGTAAATCTTGGAAAGTGCTTTACAACAGACGAAAATCACTGTTACCTCTCTGGAATGTGTTTACAACTTGCCCAGGTCCTATCGGGTAGCGTGTATAGGATACGAAAGTAGGTCAATACAACCCTGCTATAACATTGAGATTTATTTGTAAGTAGAAAAGTTCAACCGAATCATTGAAAAAATTGTTATTGCTGCCTGTAATGGCTTTACAAGTGTATAATTTCGCAATATAGAATGCATTTAATTTAATTCATTTGAGAGTGTCTGGTTGACATTTTGGGAATTTTAATAGATACCGATTTATAAAGAAGTATTATTAGTACGGGAACACAAAAAACGACGAGAAAGTAATTAAATATTTGGCATTGCTTCAAGTGGTACACATAAATAAATTATATTCAGGCTCGTTAGTGGTCAAGTTATTCAGTCATTAGGGAAGTTTGATCAAAATACAATCGTCTGATAACGCTTACGTAGGAAAAGTTGTCCATAATTATATAGATATACGTCTGTAATTAACAAGTGCAGGAATTTTATTTGAATCTCACATGTATAGACAGAAATAATAGTAGTAACAAGCTTAATATAAAGCATTAAGGACGCTGGATCCGTGAATGAAAACTGCATTGCCGTTTCCGACGCTTATTACAGTATCGAGTCATCATGAAAGTCGACTTCTCGAGTTGTAAATATCTCTTACAGATATTTATATATTTTCTAAAAAAAGAAACCCTCTGTAAGACGTGTACCCATGAACCTTTGACCTTTTAACGTTAACATATTACCATATTAATTAAATATGGTCTAGAACCTGTTTGATATCTTGAGGGTAAACATGTTGCAGATCTTTTGATTTTCTCAAGTTTGGATCGTGATTAAAAATGGGACACAGAAAGCTCCCCTGTTCTTACAGCGGCGAGAGCATAACAAGCATCATCGCAATATGAATGTAACCATTTGCCCCGCAATGCAATATTCCGTTAGGAACATCATTTAAATTCTGGTAAAGTTAACATTTTTTCATGTCACATAGTATTCTGCAAACAGAAAATATTTCAATTAAGCTGGCATCACTGTTCCATTTCCATTTTGTTTTCAGATGTGACCTGGGGGTACATGCCTTTTTGTTTGTTAGTTAAAACAGAGACGTATATAACACATGTTATATATGTCTCTGGTTAAAAGAATTGAGGTGAATACATACATATCTGTGTTAAAAGATAACAAAGAAATGAGTTATATTTTATCTGTAGGTTCTGTAACAAGCCCTCCAGATTTTAATGATAACCATTGGTGGATATAATATAATTATTGTACAATAAGTGTGTATAGTAATCTGTGTATATGTCCAATATAACATGTACAGGATCAGGCCTGGTTGACACACTGGCTGGACAAGGAGGATACAGGCAAAAATAACGATAACAAGATCACTACAGGCAAAACTAAACGATAAAGATAGGTACTGACAAAACTATTCCAACAATTTACGGTTTTTTTCCACTTTAAATAGGGCTCTTTCTTGTCAAATGATTTCATTAAAATATCATTGAAGTAATTATAATAATTTACATTTCAAAATAAAAAGAATAAAAGAACAAATATGACTGACAGCATATAATTTTCCCCCTGGCCAATCCATGGAACCTTTAAAACTCAAATTTGATTTGTTTATCACTAAAAGGATTTTTGGAGATGTCCTCTTTTTTTATTTGGATGAGACAACATGTATGAAGATTTTGATCGTATCAAATAAGAAATTCCCTGGTTATGAAAAAAAAATCTCTTCTATTCTGGATTATGACAAATTGCATCTCTTTACCAACAAATGTTTACAAAAACCTGATCCCGTACTTGTGTTGATGTGACCCACTGTCATTCTCTTCTCTATATATTACCGCTGTCACAAAACATGTAAACTTTGAGATACATGTTGGAATGTACATACTTATATACATATACTTTACACAATTTGGTATACATACATTATAGACTCGATTCCTTAATTCAAATAAACATTCCTTGCTTCTATTTATTAGTCAATATGGACTGTGTACACAGCAAAGGTTCCATCATTATCTTGTATCACTTGCCCACAGTTGAAAAGTGTACCATGAAGGTCATTATTGTCAAGGGTTTTTCACGGATGAACCAAATCGCTAAAATTGGATACCTCAAAAAATAAATTGATAACGTTAAGCAATCTGTAGTTCAACTCATTATTCCGTGATAAATATATCCTTTTTGCTTCTACTATGAAAATTTGAACCATAAAAAATAATGACCTTTCTTTTGGTAATTCAAACAGGCATATCCGATCTAAAACACAGAATATTATTTCATGGACTGTGTCTTGCCTGATGTAGTGTTTTTGATAAAATATATTTTGTTCAATAAAACTAGACAAAATAATGATAATGATGATAAGATAAGCCCTTATACGGACTTTTGAAAATATATCAACTTCCTGTAACATATGGGAAAATAGTTCAGTAGTTTATAGAGATATCTAAGTATCAAACATCTTCAGGATGTTTGTGGTATCCATTCAAAAGACAATTAATCTGCAGCATATTTAAAACAGGATATTCTTTACACAGATTACACTCCACAAACAAGTGCATGGCTTTGGTTTGGCTTATCTCAATATGACAGAAGACTGAATCATAAAAATCAAATTTCATCAATTTTTAAACCGTTTTTCATTAAGATGTTTCAAATTTACGGTATTAAGTATGCATCATGTTGACAACATACCAGGAGGTAGTCCTCTATGTGATAATCAGAAATTCTGATCAACAATAGAAGGATTCATATATGCAGGTGAAAATGCATTTATTTTAATTCATCAAGTGTTACAAGGTAAATACCTGTGTAAATTTAATCCTCTAGAGTATAAGAATTTATTATTACACACAGATGGCAAAACCAAATCTGAGAATAATTTTTCTTCTTTTTTTTTTTTTAAATAAATTTTCAATGTTACAATATTTCTTCATTCATAGCCTCTGACAATAAGCCCACCCTTAAATATTGCAACTGAATAGAAATACAAAACACATTCATTCTTTGTGTTGTGATAAGCCTGTCCCTTTCCTGGAGTCAGAGATCACATGTTGAATGGGCAGCTTGTTCTATCTTGACAAATGCATGCACTTTTATGAAAATATTTTGGAATTTGAAATAAAAGTTCAATTCTGGAGCACAATTTCAAAGTTCAAGGGAATACATTATTAAGTGAAAAAGACTCGATGTAAAATATAATTTCAATAATCTAGTAGACATTTCATAGGCAGATGAATGTTTATATATCTTTTTATAATATCTTAATAAAGGGAAGACTTACATGTATGTACAGGTTAGAATCATTTGTAACTACAACAAGACTTGTATGTCTTTAGGGGCATAAATATTATATGTACAAAACAATATATAAACATTTGTATGAAATAAACATTGCACTTGCTAAGTTGTAACATATGATAAGTAGCATGATATGTATATAATTGGATTCACAGACAACATCACTTTGCCGTCTGAAAAACCAGGAACAAGTTGTGATATCGAAGACAGTCTTTAATACACGTTGACTATTAAATATGTTTTCGAGGTGTTGTGTTTTAAATTGGAACCCTGGTATCTGATAAATGGTTTCCCTACAGATATCAGAACATTTAACATTTTTACATATTTTATCATCTGTAAATAATCTGAAACCTTTGTACAGCTTGGATTTTGATAAGTTTGTTATAGAGGTAATACCCTGATTACCAACAAGAACTAAATGAACTGTATTCTACACAAATATCAAATTTCGTATAAAAATAGCACTTAACCATGATATAGAAAATGTACATGCAAATATGTTTGACTTTCAATTCAATCTAGCTACATCACAAAATACTGGCTCTTTTAGGTCATTATTTCAACTTGTTCTATTTCAAGATACAACAAATAACACATTATTTTTACACCCCTGCAATAGAATGACCGGCATTTGAACCAGGTAGTCAAACTCGTACGACGATATTTTAATTTTTTTTATGAACAAAAAGATATCAAAACGGAAGTATTTTGCAAACTTCCATGGCAATTTTATGATGCATGTATTTGGAATTTGAATTAAATTGCTATAAATTTTTTTTTTAGAATGTTTTAAAAGAAACAACACAAAAAATGCACAGATTCTGTCCATTGTAGCTATAATATCAAAAAATGTGTGCGATGAAATCCTTATGGTTTAGTAGTCCTTGTTTTAAGTATGAGACTTTAGAAAGAAAAATGGTTTATGTTAGTGTTTGTTTCCGATATCAATTAAGAATTTATCTCATTTCATTCCAGAAAATTTGTGATTTCTCTTTTCTCACATTAATGAATCAGAAAATGTTACCAAAAAGTTCATTTCTTTTCTGGAACATCAGAATTGCTGATCATTTCAAGCCAGTTATTAATTTTACTTTAACAACTGAGTAACAGTTATCTCCCCTGCATGAAATTTTAACAAAATGTTTCCAACAATAATACAAAATAATGTACAAATATCATTGTGTATTTGGCACTTGTGATGAAATATAAAACATTTAATTCTTAAACCTTAAGGTGATATCTATAAATTTTTGTTTTTCTTTTATTCATTTGAAATTGTAAGTTCAAAAACTCAATAAAGCCAAAGTTCTAATATAACTTAACTGTTGGCCATTATCATTTTTTTTTTCAATTTTATCTTATTTTTCCTCATCAAATATAGAACCATTGTGCTTGCATAAAAACCAAAAATCTTCATTTTACATTCATATAAAATTTGAAAAAACATTTTTTTTATTTTGACCCGGTACAAAATTTCATGAAACATACAATTTACATAAGGACTCACAAGATTAAGTACACTTCACGTTAAATATTGCATCTTTATGACCGACTGTTATATCAAAATATTGAAATATAAATATCAGTACTAGAATTCTTAAAATCAATCATGTTATGACCATTGATTAAAATTCGTCTCTGCTAGTGACTTTAATACAGTCACTATTAAGATCACTCCAGAAATCTGAAGGCTGAATGGTCAACCAAATAAGCAATGACTGAAATGTATTCCCAGACATGAACACATTGGCCAACGATGTGTTACTCTGAACAATGACTACCTAGTTACATGATGACTGGCTAATTTGAAGAACAGATTGTCATAGTTTGCAAATTAAAACTAGACAGTAAATCATCAATTCTAGGCAGTATTACTCTGGTCATATACAGGCCCTTTTGGCCTTTATACAAACATACTTTATCCATGCAATAGTTCAGGTCCAATTGAGTTTTATAATCATGATATCCAAATCCAGGTCATTATACCTGAACACAAAAAGAAACATCTGACATCATCTTGAACCTTTCGTAGTTATGGGGTTGATATTTTTTTCCCTGGTCTCTTGAAATGTATCTTGTCTCGACTGCAATATACATAATCACCAATCTATCTATTAAGCTCACTTTTTTAAATCATGTAATTTACATCCATATCATATGACACCTGTCTCTTGTCATTTGACAAATATATCCACGTCCAGGTCATGTATCATCTATATCCAGATAACGTGATATCCGTGTTCACATGATATGACATGCATCAATGTCATGTGATATCTTTATAGATCATGTGACACCCATATCCACGTCATGTGATATCTTTATCATGATCAATATATTCTAGTCACACAAGAACTTAACAACCATATCTACATGACGAAATTCTGTGCCTTGGAAACAGGCATTTTATCTTGGATGTAGGTCGACTCTGGCTGTAGTAAAACCACTGTAACAAGCTCCTGTTCAATGCAGTGCTTTGTGCCATTTAGTTTTCTTTACTGGGACCTGTAACATGGGGAAATAAAGATATAACAAAGTTTCCTATAAAGAGCAAAGATAATTCTACACTATAAATATATAAATTATTTGTAAATTCATTACTTCAAACAAGCCAAAACAAACGGTACCAATCCCCTTGAGCACAATAAACAGATGACCAATTGTCTGTATTATTTTCATCAACCTCTCAAAAAATGACCCTATTTGAGTACTGACAAGTATTTTCTTCAAATAGGAACAACGACCTTGATTCAACAACCTTGTAACTCAAACATTATGTTATGTCCTTTATATGATTGTTAAATCAGGAATAAAGCCACTGTAGTGTGAAAGATTTTCAAAAGTTGGTAGTGGTGGCCTTGACCTTGAAACCTTCAATCTTTTACTTGTCTGTAAAGTTAGGGTCTTTTATACGGATATGAAGTTTGTTCAAAATTTCGCAAGATGTGATGATGCTAGAGTGCTGAAGAGGTTTACTAGAAATTGTAAAAGTGACCTTTATTTTGACCTTTGACCTTAAAGCACTGAAATTTGAGTATGTCTTCCGGGATTTTTTTTCATTCATAAGTGTGTGAAGTTCGATAAAAGATTCAAGAAATACTCAACTCAAGTGCCTACAAGAATAAGTTTATGTTCGTATTTTCATGGAAAATCTAAGAAACTTAAATCAATGAAATTTTACTTACCATTCATATTTTCTTATTTACAATTACCCATCAATAAATTCTTTAATCATTACATTCTGTACTTCAGAATTCTACTTAGTCAACTAGGTATCAGTTTACTGGACACTGGTCTAAAAATTTGTACTTCACTGGGACAATATTTTACATGTTCAAATCTTCCTCAAAGATCTAAAAAAAATATCTCTATTTTTTCATGTAACTATTGAGCATGCTGACATACAGAAGAAAATGATTGCTGTCCCATACTCTAGGTAAATTATTTACAGTTGAATATCATTATATGTTGTATCCCCTGATAAGACAAAATTTCAAGGACAAAATAATAAATCTGAGGTCTCCACACTAAATCCCAAGGTCATACCGAATGTCAAGGTCACTAATAATTTCAAGGTCACCATACATGACATAAGTAGACAAAAAACAGCCACACCATAAGGGAAAGAGGAAGGGAGATCACTCTGTCTCTGCTGTGATGGCTCATGGAACTGTAGGGAGGACAGGATTTTTTAATCTTTTGTCTTTGGGCTATAAAGATGTATTGCATTTGCATACTAAATTCATGGTAATTATTATTCAAATGAAAATACCTTACATTGTCAAGAAGTTATTTTTCTTTAAATAACAGGTATTGTTGAAGAGAAATTATTTGAAACAAGCCACCATATTATGATTATTCTATAGTTTTACACAAAGTAAAGCGTCCCTCATTTACTTGCCTGTTTCAGTGAATGCATGCCGTTGGAATTACGGATAGCGATCATGAGCTCCTCTCTGGGGTCAAGTTTTGGGGGTTCAATAATCCTTCGTCCCTTGCCCTTAGGCTTCACAACCACAGAGGAAGCTGGTTTAGTATCGTTAGATATCACCTTGCCCCCTGTCTTTACACTGCCATTTTGGGGCAGAGACGGGGCAGGAGGTGGAGCTGGAGGTGCCACTGGGATGGAGGCCACAGGTGCAGCCACAGACTGTTTTTGGGGTTCCGTCTGTACAGGATCAACATTGGCCATTGGTACTGGCGAATCTCGTTCCATCTTTTGTTGCTGCATTGCAAGGCGTTGCATGCTTTGCTGCATCTGCATCATCATCTCTTGCTGGGCCTTGAGTTGGGCCTGCAGTTGAGCCTGGAGTTGAGCAGAATTGTCGTCTTTACTGAGGTCATCAGTTGAAGACAGCAGCGCCTGGTTCTGAATCAGCTGCTGTTGCCACTGTGAAAATTGGTTCTCAAGCTGGTGTTGATTATGAACGTCACTAATATCTTCCTCATTAACCTCAGACCCATTCATCTCCATATCCAGACCAGAATCATTCACACTAACTTTGTGCCTACTATGTGAATTTTCATCTGACTTTTCCTTGAATAAAGCACGAGGGGAGAAAGATTTCTTTTCCTCCATGGGTTGAATGACTTCCTCCGTCTGTCCGACTGTTGGCTGCCGCTTCGCCGGAAGATTGATCATGGATATGGATTTCTCTTCAAGAACATGTTCTTGTTCTCCTTCAGAATTAGGAGAGAAGGAGAGTTCTGTGCACCTATCTTTCACACTGATCTCACCTCGGTCCTCAACATCCAGACTACTTATGTCTATGATAGGGTTACTAAAGCCATCATTGTCCTCTGTATATACACGCCGAACCACAACCTCTTCCTCATCCTCATCTAGTCTGATTACCTCCTTACTGACCAAACCACTTGCAGGAGGCTGACTTGCCTTTTCCGCTACTGGAGGAGGAGGAGGATGAGCGTCCCTCCTTCTAGCACCAGAGAAATTAACATTTTGTAAGTCATCAAGAGTGAACACAAGAGCCTCTGGCTGTCTGTCCTTGGGGGGAGTAGGAGGTCGTTTGATCACTTCCACCTTTTTAGGTGGAGAAGGTTCAGCCACAGACTTGACCTCGCTAGTCCTGGGAGATTCTGGACTTTTAAGGTCCTCTACATTGAACACTAAAACTTCCTTTTGCTTCACTTCTTCCACCTCTTGGGAATGTTCTTCAGATAATTCCTGAGGACTCGCTGACCTCATGTACTCGAAAGGCGAAATAACTTCAATTGTTTCTACTATCTCTTCTTCTTCCTCCTTATCGAAATTAACCACATTCTCATTCACAGCTTCACTGGTTTGGAATTCCGGAGGAACACTGTCCACTGTGACATCGTAGGTGATTTCCGACACCTCATAGTCCTCAGATTTGCTCCTCCTCTTCTCATCTTTTGACATACCATCTACCTTGTCTGAGGAATGATTTTCTTTTTGAGGTGGGGCACTTTCCTCCATGACAACCGTCTCCTTGGCAACAACATCCTCCATCGGTATTGGCACTTCTTCTTGGCTCATTTTGTTCATGCCCTTTACAAATTTGGAGACTTCCTCCTTATAAGTCTTTCCATCTGAAAGAAAATGTATTCAGTTTTAAGAAACAATGGTCCACTACAAAGAATTTAAGTTACAACACACCAGTAAGTCTTTACACAATAAAAAAATCTGATGAGCTTAGTTTTTTGCATGGGATAGTCATTTAACTTATTTTACTGTGGGTCAATAAAGCCACCGTTATACAGAAAATTGGTAAAGTAAGCCATTTCATATAATCCTAATGGATTTTATTGATTCAAAATCCTACACAATTAACATTTCAAAGATCATAAATATTGAAATAGACAAATTTGGAGACATGTTGAAAAATTTATGCTTTTTTCGTCGTTATTCTTGTTTTTAGTTTTGTGATCCTGTTTGAATTATGTTAAACAAAATGTGATGTGTAAGGCTGTCATATCTTAATGGTAAATACCAATTATTAACTCTATGAGAATTACTTTATAATGAAACAAATTGAAGAATATGGCTTGATGGAAGAAAAACAGAAATGTCACCAAGGATAGATGTACATTTTTCTCTTATAAAGCTGGTATCATAGGAAAGGTGGTAAAAAACATTACTTTTTACCTGGGTTGGAAATCACTCTAAATTCCCATTGCTGATCAAATTGTAACTAACAGAATAATGTGACTACAAAATTAACTAAAATGGGCAAAATATATTGCGACTGTTTCATTAAGGATCAATTTAAATTTATGGATGGCTATCGTTCCTAACTCTTGAAAGTTTTCCTGTTAGGATCAGACTAAGATCAATCGCAGAACAATCCTAATCACAAAGTCATAGTCAGAGGTAAAACGACCAATGATGTATTGGATCAGAACATCATTGCTTTTAAGGTTTGATTTGAGAAACATTCCGTCTTCAAAGGCCTCACTATTCAGCAGGACTATAAGGTACATGTAGGATTGAACTTGAACCCTGACCCTCAGTAAGTAGGACTGAATTTTAATCCTGATGCTCAATAAGTAGGACTGGAGTTGAACCCTGTCTCTCAGTTTGTAGGACTGGATTTGAACCATGAACCTCAGTATGAAGGACCATTTTTAAATCCGTTCAGTATATAGGACTGGATTTGAACCCTGAACCTCAGTATGTAAGACTGGATTTGAACCTTAAACCCTGACCTTCAGTAGGTAGACATAAAGAATGGATTTGAACCCTGAACCTCAGTATGTAGACTAGATTTACACCATGAACTCTGACTTTCATTAGGTAGTACATATAAGACTAGATTTCAACCCAGACTCATTGTAGAGAGGACCTATGGATAATCAGAAAATTTAGTCATAAGTTTGGATAAGTTATCAATTTATATGTATCAATGGTTGAAAGATTTTGATAAAACACCATTTATTTATTTCGATAAATTTTGAAATTTTGGTGAATATAAGGTTTTGTACATGAATTTAAATGAGTTCAGGCAATCTAATGTTCTTTGATTACTCTGATGAATTCAATTTCCACATAACTTGAACACGTTATGAAAGTGACTGTTATTTTGATGAAACTCTTTGCCCGCTTGTACCTTGTTCCTCCGTATCAGAATCGTCCATGATGGCCTGCTCTGCCGCTGCGATGGTGAGCTCAAAGGCCATATTAATGTCTTCTATAGTATTTACAGAGCTTAAGCTGTTGCGACTCTCAGGTCGACTGTGGACTGTAGACAGACAAGGGGAGGTAAGCGTGGTCACAAGCATAGCTTTAACAACATGGGGTGGTTATGGGAATGTATAGCATGTATTCTACAGCAGAGGAACGGAAAACAATTCAAAACAGAATTCTTCTGTTTAAATTCTTTGACTTCCATTAATCAATTAGGCAAGAAAATAAGACAAGTTAACATTTTATATTTATAAGAAAAAGAAATTCTTTTAAGTTGCTGTTTTACGGATATTCAATGATGGGTCATTTTCCGTGAATTAAATACAATAGGGAATAAACGAATATTTCAAATATTTCGTGCAAGAAAGTAATTTATCAAAACATTATCTGCGTATTATTCAAATTTTAAAAATGACATATTTTAAAATCAATTTTCATTCTAAGGTGATATTTTTGAAATTAATACAATCAATCTGTTTCCTTTACTGTAGAAATTACTGCACATGCAATCCAATATGCAGAATACATTGCATATTTGGTGTAAATATATACTTATATATGTATATAAATGAGTTATCTTTAGATAATATTGCCGAGATTAACATAAATCTTCACTGAATGTTTAAAATATAAACAAAAATATGTAAAAGATAAATAACCAATTTCTTATTTTTTTACAATTATGATTTCTTATGCGAATCTCAGCAGAAAGCAGCTAGTAACCTGTCAACCCTACTCTACAATAATGGGGGTGCCCGACCCAGTAGTGTCGATCACCTACAATTGTATGCTGTAGGGGAGAAAAAGGTTACTGGCTGCTACCGTGTTTCGATACAATTGTTTAAAACCATGTTAGCTTAATTCACTAAAGACATAAATAAGATGTTTATTCTCAAAACATTTTTTCAAGATAATTAAGCCAAATATTTTAGATTTGTTTTTTCCAAATGACAATATTGAAAACACAATCTCAGTTAATGTGTTTATTGTCCATTGATTTATTTTTGTCATGAATCTCTAAGCTAACAGGTCTTACCCACATCACAGCAGTACTTTTCAATACCCTAGTTCTATTATATCACTCACTGTCATGTATTTCTTGGTAGTAATTCATCTCGATCTTCATATTGAAATATTACAGGGTCTTCAGGTTTTATTATCCCGTCTTTCATAATTCAAACATAACAATTTTGAAGAAACCTCCTGTAAATTATTCTTTTTATCATTTTGATCATTACTCCAAACAAATCTATCCAAGGTGAAAAGGATATTGAATTTAGCACTGCTGTGTATATATTTCATTATTTCTCATTGTGGTATGTGTTCATTGCATTGCATTATATAAAACACAGTATATAGACATCAATATTGAATCTTTTCTAAAGCAAAACTGACTGACACAACAGATTCACACAAGAAAACTGTTGTTTTCTAGACAGTTTTGATAGATGTAAACAACACATGCTAAATGTTCACATTTTTCAGTCCAAAGGGAGGTAACTCCTTTGGTCTTCCAAACTGAGATTGAGTATGTGTAGTATACATTTAAACATGCAGTATGTAAACATCACCAACATACAATAGTATATTCACCATTGGGGTAAGTATATTAGAGGTAGATAATTCATTGTTGTGAAATTTTCTTAATCCAGACATTCATTTCCTTAAGTCCAATGAAAAAAAATATTCTGAATTTTTTTAGAAATAATTACAGTTAAGTATACAATTTCGGGGAAGTCAGTCTGAATTGAAATAATTTCACTACATTTGTAGATCCAGTAGATAAGTATTATAGCAAGACTTATAAGTATCTTTTCAATGAAATGTGAAGATATGTTATGTTCCTAGCCTGTAGTAAAGTATAGGTTGCAATTCAGATAAATCTTACTATGTGATCAAAAATTCTTTAAAATCTTAGTTCAAAATTGATTCACAACTAACAGAATTCACAGACACAGTCAGAAAAGGTTAATCAACTATCTGTTTATTAATATTTCCAAGAAAAAAATTCAAAACCAAAAATCAAGTAAAAATCTATAGCATGTATTATTAGAAATTATTTTGTAAATAAAATATGCATGGTAAAAGGAAAACAAAATTTATATTAAAAAACCAAAACAAACTAAAAATACTGTGACTACATGCTTGACTTCTCAAGAAAGTAGATATTAATGTGGTTTAGGTATTGATGTTAATGTGTTAGTGGTATAAATATATGGTGAGGATTAGGATTACACTGAAACAGTGGTATAAATGATTACTTCCGCATCTTAAGATATTAATTCTTTCTGAATTAAAACTGCTGTCCCCAAACCAGGTATTTTGTCAAGAATTGTTTTCAGTTCATGAATTTCTACAAAATCTATCACAAAATATATATTGATTTCTTTGTCAGAGAAATTCTAAACTCAACACATGAAACTGATTCTCAGATCATGCTGGTCATCACGTTTTTTGTGATGTACATACTGTAGCAGTGAGTTGTCCAAAGAGAATGACAAATTACTGTGTGTTTAGTTTTGGAATTACAAACAAAAGAATGCTTCTTTGAATGATCAAATTAATTATTTTTGACAATAATTCATCATTTTTATTGAATAAATTGACATTCATCTTAAAGATGCAGATAATCACTTAAAGTAGCTCATCTATGTTAAGAGATCAACTGCAAAAGTCATGCAGTTATAGTGTGTTTATTAGTACATGCAAAAGCCAGCCATGATTGGGTGGATGGTGAACTGAAACAGGGCTGCAGGGCTGAGGGCCTGAGGGCGTTTAGAAAGGGGGGCGGGGCAGAGATAAGAAAATGTCAATAAGGGCACGATTAGCTATTTTAAGGCTTTTGGCTTTTGATAAGAAATTAATCATATAATACCCGGTAATTGAAAGCTTAAAACTTTGGAAACAATCTCTATGTAACTTTTTTTTAAGTAAGTGTTAACCTACATGTACATGATATATACGGAGCTGGGGGTGTTGATTATTCATACTTGATCAGGGTCACTTTCTAAGGGAATCTGTTTTGATCGAAATTATAAAACTGGATAAACTCATTTATTTACATAAGATTTAAATTTAACACACTTTAATGATAAAAGTATCATAATACATTTAAATTCTACAAAAGATATTATTGTCTTTCCTCAACACTATTTAGTATTGTATTACCGTTGTTCATCCATCAATAATTACAAGTATTCAGATATATTTCTCTAAGGTATATCATAATGTATGATGGAGAATAACAACACAAGTCATTTAAATCTCAGACCTATTTACTTAAACAAAATCAAGATAACCTTTTATGGGTAATGAAAATGCAGAAATCCCATCAAGGGGAAAATTAACAATTTCGAGCAAAATTCTGTTATTTTTCTCCCTGTCCCCCTACTTTGTCTTACATCAGTAAAATTTCAGGCTTGCAGGTGAAAGATGTGGTATCAGATACTTGATTTAAGACAAGCTGATGTATAACTGATTTATAATGGTTCAGTGACCTGACTGGTGCACAAGCCTTCCGGTATGCGACTTCACATCTAGGTGACTTTATAACCCTGGTTTGCACATGGTCTAGCATATTCCACAGACAATGTTGAGGGTTCCACACATCACACAAGTCAAACGATATATATTGTGAAACACACAAGTTGTTAAAAGTCACACCAATTAAACACGAAAATGAGGAAAGAAAAACAAAATGAAGATAAAGCAAGAAACTATGTGCTGTCAATCTAAATTAAAAAAAAGGACTGCAGATCTATCACGGAACACAATTCAGCACAATCTCTACGCTCGGATAACAAATAATCGGGTTTTGAAATACCAGACAGCCACATGTGTCTTAGGTATTGTTTATATGTTTACCGATCAAGCAAAGAAGTGTTAATATAGAGTTGTGTTTTTCACTAGACTATAAATTGTGAATAAAGTAAAAAAAAAAATGAACTCTATTGAAACAAATATTTTAGCAAAGATTGAAAAAGGCACCATTTCTATATTGTAGTCTATATTTAATCATGATTAATATCTACAGGGATCTTCCAAGATTCATTCTAAAATTATGAATTGCAACATACAGTGTAGATATTTTCAGATCTGGCTCTTTTTTTGTAGAAAAAGATTCAGAAAAGATATCTTTCTAAATTTACTATGAAGACTGTTCCTATAGTTTTTTTTTCTGTTGAATTTAAAATGGAATCCCAAAGATTCCATTCTGCTATCCAGTCACCAACACTTAGTTCTAAATGACATTAAAAATTATTCACAGTAAAAGGATTTTTTACTGAATTACTTACTGCTAACAGGAGAGCTCTCTGGGCCCTCAGAACCACTGTCGTCACTGGTCTCTACACCAACATCTACCATATCCACCCGCGAAAGAGCGGTGTAGTCAACCATTTCTGAATCTGCGGGAGGAGGTTCCACAGGAGGAGGTGGTGCTACAAAAGAACATGGCCGCTGATTTTTGATTGGTTGCTCTAGTTCAATGTCCTCGGTTTTGATGGAATCATTCTCCACCATCATCATTCTTGGACTTTCAAGGCCACGGTCGAATTCTGCCATCACCTCAGCCACAGCTAGCGCGTCCTCGTCATCTGTCATCGTAGAAATAAATGTATATATCACAGATTACACATTATCAAACTTATGTCAGGAGATCACTTCAGAATTTCGTACTGATTTTAATACTCACAAAATAATGTACTGTAATTTACTTTACAAGGAATATTAATGATTAGTGTCTTAACTTTAAGATTCTCTTACGTAAAAAACATCTATCTACTGGTATGTGAAAACATCCATTTTATTTATAATTTTAGAAGTTAATACATGAACATATATGAACATGGATATCAAAAAAAAAATTCCATCGATAAGAGAAGATTTTAATTTTGTAAATTCAGAAGATCTGTTAGAATCATCAAAATCCTTTGGACTACTTCTGAATGTATACTGCAATGAGATCTCACAATGAATAATAAGAATTCAGCAAAATACAAAAGTACATTTCTGATAATGAGTCAAGGGATTCCCCTCCAGCAGTTAAGTCTGCTCATATAAGTCTCGCTCTACAAATGCTAATAACATCAAATACACACATAATTGATCATGGCATTTCTCAAAGCCAAGGAATGCTACAGACAGACTAGACTAAGTATAGTGATATAGGAGCAGCTGACAGCAAGAACTGCAAAACATCAATACTTATCAATCACACACGACAAACAGGTGGTACGGGGTTTTATACTGTATTACCAGGTAAATCTGTTTTTGTGTTGACATTTACCATAATATACCAAATAAACATGTAAAACATGATAACATGCATGTGTGTTGTATCATAGAGTTATCTCCCTTGAGATATATTTGACCTTGACATTTCATTGTACACACAGTTGTCCAGACAGTGATTGTTGACCTCCCTGAAGTTAACTTCTTATTTAAGTTAAAGTTACCAGAATGAATGTGAACACAATACATGATTATGTTATGCACACTACCAATGCAGTTTCATTTGTGATAGATGACGGAGTTGCCTCCCTTACAGTTTTACCTTCATTGAAATAAGTTTTATATAAATCATATTGTTGCATTTAAACTTTTTTGAACAATTCAGAAGGAATGAAATATACAAGAATTCATTTTAATTTTCAATAATCATCATTTTTGGCCACAATGGAAAAAACAGAAACAAGGACTTCTCCCTGAGGTATAATCCTGTGATGATATGCAACGCGATGCATGTCGGTACAAATTTGCTGTATTCTGCCTGGACATACCCTTTTGATATCATACAATTAGAAGTTCACCAACCCAATGTATCACTTACCTGTGGTGATTGCGTCTTTGATGCTGCGTGGTGACTCAGATATCGGTTCTGTTACAGGAGGACTGGGATGGGGAGGGTCAGAGGTCACTGTGATGGCCACCACAGGTGGTGTTGATTGGGAGTTTGTTGAGGGTGAGGGTTGGCCAGGTGAGGATGAAGGAATGATAGCTGTTGTGAGGTAAGCAGAGAAAAAAAGTGCAGTCAAATCCTGCTGGAAAGTCACACAATCAAGCAAACAAATCTGGTTAGAATATCTACAATAAACTATTAAGTCTTACTGAAGGGAAAGCTGAATAGATTTTTCCGTCAAGCCCATGTCTGGTAGCAGGCCTATTCATTATGTTTAGTAAACAACCAGCTAGTGTAATTTTGCTGTTCTGTATTAAGCCCACACCCTTACTGGTACAAGCCAGATTTAAGGATCAAGTCCCCCGGCTCAATGCATTATTAGTTTTATTTCTCATTTCAGTGGTAAATGTGTTATGCTAGAAAACACTTAAGTTTAACCTTTTACTTTTTATTGAAGAAATATAGACAAACTGTAAAACCCAAATTTTACCCCTAAGTGAAGGATCTGGTTTGAAAAGCCCAATGTTCTTCATTATCATAATTTTTATCATAATTCCATATCACTGACCTTTCATAACTTGTATTGACCACAGATCAGTATATTCATGTTACCAAATTTAAAAGTGATGCCGAATGCTTTTAAATCCCACAGGCACATCATCATGACTCAAACATTATGGTTCTAAAGATGAATTTTTGTAAATCAAGCTTATCTATTTTAACCACAATGCTTGTTTCAATAACAAAATATTTTTTTCACTTGCAAAATACAAAACAAGATACAATAACTATAGGCCGTTTGACTCCGTAGAAGACATCATCATTTACATTTGGAATCTTTTGACCTTAAGAAAGTGGTTTAATTTTGTATACAAGTTTTCAAAGCATTTGTTCAAAAGAAATGACTATACTACCCTACAGTACAAATGATATCAATCCTGACCTCCTGAGACTCTTAAGTAACAAACATGGCATCCTAAAGAGTGACAAATCTTATAGCCTAAGTATTATAGTTTTATAGACAAAAGATGATAAAAATGTTCAGCTTTATTTTCAATATAAATAGGACCTTGAAACAGGATTAAGATAACCTTTTTCAATTAACAAAACTTTTGCTACAGTAGATTACACAATAAATATATTTTCCATTCCAACTTAATTTTTCCAGTCTCTATAGAATATCATGATTTTCAGTTTCTAATTCATGGCAGGGGAGGTAACTTTATAAAACTGAAATTCACTTGTATGCTAAGTATTTGAAGTTTATAGCTGTAAATGATGTTTTCATGAACAAACCACTATTAATGAAAAAGCCTAGAATGTTACCTCTAAAAAAAGTCAATTTTCGTCAATTTTTACCGTGAACCTATCTCAATGTTGTTGTTATATCGCCATAAAATGTACCACCACTTAACAATGTTAGCCTCTGGCAGACTGCTTGTTAAAGGTAAAATTTCTCTCCTAAAGTACACACCATAGTTTGTCACTTCAAAGTGAGATAATTCTGTGACCTTTTTCTTTTTTTATCTATATATCTAGTACACTACACCTGAATACAAACTGAGATCAATTCATGTGAATAAATTTGTGGAATGATTTTCCAAAAACAGAACGGGGAAAAAAAAAAAAAATGTTGCAAAATTGACAACAATCTGTTTACTCATTCATGCAAGGCAATATTGATGTATCGATATTTCACATTGGTAACTATAGGTGACAAATATCTGGCACATGATGCTGAGACTCGCAGATGTTCCAACAGGTGGTGCTTTATGGCTTAAAAGTCTTCTTAACTCAGACTTATTAATACTCAATGCTAGCTCACACTAACACACTAAAAGCAAAAAAAAGCCAATCCTCAGTCCTTTGTTTGAGATATAATGAGCAATATATATGCGATTTCAATTCTAACTTCATCAGCGACATCAATTCATAAACTTTTTAAGAGTTAAAAGAAAATAATATATAAGTTTTGAATGAATTCATAATAAATTTTTACAAGACAAAAAAATGAGTGGACATTATTACTCTAGCAAAACTAACTTGTACAGATCAATGATACATAATTCTCTGATGGTTTACGCGGTATATTAAATTGTATCGAAAAATAGCTCTAAGACAAGTTACAAATGAAAATTCAATTCACACCTGTTAGTGTTCATGAAGCCATCAACATGTCCAACACCCGGAACTAAAAGCAATGTCTACTGATAGTAAGCAACAGTTTCTCTACTTATAGGATGTGGAAGTTAGGGCCCCATCTGAATACTCCGAGTGCTGCTAATTAAGTAAATGTGTTAACAGTGCAACTGGATAATGATAATTGATTTAACTCTGTCAGTGGGGGGATTGGGAAACTGGCCACAAAGCGTACCTGTTTGCGGTGGAGGAGGGGCAGCTTTTCGTTTCTTTCCAGGAAGTTTTTTCTTTGGTTCGTCCCGTTCCAGCGACCTAGTCCGAGGAGGCCCCTTCTTGTTTTCTTTATGTAACGGCAGTGTTTGGCTCGCCCCAACATCCATGGCCTGAGCTGGATGTGGTTTTCGTCGAGGCGGAGATGTATCGCGTATTCCACTATCCCCATTCATTTGTTCCCCACTATCTATTGATGTAGTATCTATAATAATTTGTAAATTTTCGTCTATTCGTCCCGCGTCGGGCGATTCCGCCCCACTAAGTGTTAATTCGTGGTATCCACTTGAATCTGAACTATTTCGTGAATGTAATTTTTGTGCTATTTGTTCCGTGCGATTTTTATCAGATGTGACCGTCACTGACGTTGACGCCTCATTTTCACTGACGCTAGGCAACCTCTCCGACATCACAGCCACTTTTTCAATGTTTTGTTTTTCAACACTTATTTCTACCTGAACAGTTTTCGTGGGAGGCTGAGCTTGAGGGGGAGGTGGCGGTGCTGGTGCTTTTCGCTTTTTCGATCGTGGTGGTGGAATTACATTTTCCTTTGCTGTCTGTTTTTTAGTCTTTGGTTCTGGTATAGCCTCAGTCTGAGAGACCATCACTGACTTTGGTCGTGTGTCTACATCCATGGCAGAGGAGGGGGTATACATAGTCCGAGGGCGAGCCACCTGTTGATCGGACTTTCTGCGTAACGGAGGACTACCCCCAGATAATGGGGTTGGCGGTGGCCCACGATCCACATCCATCTGTACGGCTTGCTGGATAAGAAAACACGCCACAGGAATGAAATATTTGACAATCACTTTGATAATCTAGACTGAAAATGGCGATGTAAAACAGAAAACTTGGGAGAGCGACTGAATCTAAAGTTAGACATTATAAAATGATTCTGCAAATTGGTCAAATCAAATGAGGATTCCTTAATCTGTCTAGTTTTTCTACGTATTAAGACTGTTATAGTGTCATGTGTTTTTAGAACTGCTAACAAATGAATTGAAACACTTACCACATTAAACTTTTTATCTTTCTTGAGGAATGAAAAGAACCCCTTCTTTTTCTTGCCCTCACCAGCCATAGGCATGTATGCTGTGGAGGGGTCGACTCTAACGGACTGACTTCGTCCCACAGACAGGTCCGGCATTGACTTAGCACTGTCCATGGTCACTGTACCACAGAGAAAATATCAAATTAAGTACACAATCAGGGGAGCTAACTTTGGAACACATCTTTTTCCATCGATTAAAATAGTGTTCGGTTATAGGTATTTCATGAATAACTACACAACATGCACAATATCATATCCAAGACTCAACACAATATTTCTTTGAACACTGCTGTTGTTGCTGTATAATTTAGATAACTAATAAGTCAGACCTGTAAAATCGTTCTAAATAGAATTTCTGTGTACAATAAAACTACACATTAGGAAAAACTGTCTTTTCTGAACGATAAAAATCTGTCTGCTTGTTGTTAGCTTTTATTGTAAATTTTACCGATAACTTGTAAAAAAAATTTTTGTCATAACTCAGGTTGCTGCTACAAAGAATATTAATGAGGATTATTGGTCAATAAACTTGGACAATTAATAGTATTGTTGTCTAGCTTGAAGGATGTGGAAGATGACAGTTTGCAGACTTTGTGACGCTGCCCCGACACATAGGGATGTGGAGACGGAAAGCTTCGAGGCTGGACATAATGACGTAAGTTGTTGGATTTGTTGCCAGGGACAAGGAGGACAACTCAGTGACACACAGAGCTCTTGTTTGTACATTATTCAAACACATCGTGGTAAGTTTATCTCCGGCCATGACGTCATTAATGTAGACAGACAAATTAGAGTTACCTATCTTCAGGTCACTGGTGGCACAATCAACAGTCCATAATAGTGTGTCTACTTTATTATCCCTGCCTGGGAGATACAAACTTCTGTTCATGGAGGATCCCACGTACCATCAAACATGTAAAATACACCACTTTATGTAGGTCTGATACGCGACATGGTAACTGATTTTACACAATGTTCATGACAAGAAAATTTGGTATGAAAATGTTGGTACATTGGGTAAAAAAATTATATATTTTTAATGATCTTGTTGCATTTTCATGGCACATACCCAGTTTACATCACAAACATAAAAATGAAATTTTTATAACTTTGGCTCTGTATATCTACATGGTTCTATACACAATTTAGATTTTTCTAATATTACACAGATCTTGCAAAATATAATGAATATGGACTAAACCGTTTTTGTGTTTACGGTGACATGAATGCATTTGGATACAGAACTGTGTTTTTGTGTTTACGGTGACATGAATGCATTAGGATAGAGAACTGTGTTTTAGTGACATGAATGCATTAGGATAGAGAACTGTGTTTTTGTGTTTACGGTGACATGAATGCATTAGGATAGAGAACTGTGTTTTTGTGTTTACGGTGACATGAATGCATTAGGATACAGAACTGTGTTCTTGTGTTTACGGTGACATGAATGCATTAGGATACAGAACTGTGTTTTTGTGTTTACGGTGACATGAATGCATTAGGATACAGAACTGTGTTTTTGTGTTTACGGTGACATGAATGCATTAGGATACAGAACTGTGTTTTTGTGTTTACGGTGACATGAATGCATTAGGATACATCCTTTCTAAATGCTTTATACACAAATAACAAATAACCCCAAATATCCTGATGATTTATCAAACTATTGAAATAATGATATTTGCAATGCCGATTCAGACACTTTGAAACTGAATAACTGTGACACCAGTAAATCTAAGAGTGTAAACACAGGTACTGTCCAAATAAACAGTCAAAAATTTGCTTTTCAGTAAATTTGCCAACCAATTCCCTATTAAGCCCACCACTAGACTTAAAATTACATTGGAATAACAATTTGTGTTTGTCCAACAATGCACTGATCAATTTTTACAAGGCCTTGGCAGTCATGAAGATGTATACCTGTGCGATATACCACTTATAAGGCCATTTCTATAATGCTTCTTCTCATCAGAAAACAATGCTTCCAGCATGTGTGATACAGGCCTGTACTTAATACCTAAACTATAGTTACATCAAACATACACGATACTAAGAAATTCTTTTCAAGTTACAGACCACTGAAATGTTCGTCTAAACTCAATGTTTTATGCTAAAATTCATGTAATAAAAACAGAAATTCTTTCCGAGCAACATCAAACCGCTTGGAACATTTTAAGCTAGCTACACATGTTTAGCTTACAAAGGTAATGTTTCTAGGTAAAGAGATGATCATCAGTGAAAGGCTTTAGTCTACCCATCAAACTGAAACATCAAACACAACACCCCTGTATAACAATCAACCTGTTCTGTCGAGATCCATACACAACAAAACAGATGATTATTTTAACGAGCTCTCCGGCACACCAGTTCCTGGAGATTTGCACTAAACACAACCAGATTCTAACGAAAACATTTCACTTTACCCCACTGGAGATGTTGTTTGGATGTTTCATATGCAGCCAATATCATAAAGTTGTGACTCTTTACAAAGGCATACTTCTGTTGAAGGGTAGGGGTGTGGGATTGTTTCGGAATTATTTGAAAAATAATCAATGTGTTTTAGTAATTAAGCATATCTATACTATTAAGATATCAACATAATTAAATTTCTTCACAAATTTCTGAACTTCCATGGATATTTTTTTTTTCTTGACCGAGATATTCAACAACATATTTACGCTGGTTGTGGTAATTAATCTGAGAATATCCTTATTTCATTTTTATATCTTAATCAAATTTTCATGTATCTAGAGTTTACCAAACTAGAACCATTTGTCTACATCAAATTCATGCCAACTTTTTGAAATTTGAAGTCTGGGTGGAGATTGCTAAAGTACATTATAAACATGCTTTAGACAAACAAAACTGTTTAAAAAAAACGAGAGTTTTGGTTAATTTTTATAATGGACTAATTAATTAGATTTTGAAATTACAAACAATTTCTAAGATAAACCAATAAATTTGGTCTCAAATTCAGACCAAAATTATTGTTCCCTCCTATGATAATGATAACATAGAAAGTATGCCTTGATAAGCCCATACATGCTCAGTGATAACCCTTCCCTCTCAATGAGAATAAACAATGACTAATATGTACAATAAGGAAATGTTACACAAGATTGTTATATGTGTGTAGATCAGGGATAAGTCCTAGCCGTTGCTGACTTAACTGGTATACTGTATAGTCCCTTTTTTCGAAGGATTAAAGGCCTTCAGGGCCATCTACAGATAAGAATGTACTATTTGTTAAACTTGTACAGGTCATGTATCACTAGTGGCTCAAAATATCTCTCTTAGGTTACTAAAGAGTTCATTCTTTATTCACAACATCATGTATAAACTATTTATCATACCACATAAAAATATGTTCCCCAATCATTTTTGTGTACTCTACTTGTACGTCGCATGCAATTTTATTACGTATTTATGAAAAAGTTTACCTGAAAGTGTCATTATGAAGGTTACCATGCAGACCTTCAGACCTATAACTATAGATGACCAGGGTGATTTTGTAACACATATTTCTGTAAAAGTTCAACTTTTTTAAGTGTACAAGGTCAAGGTCATTCCATTTGACCTCAGGGTTAAGGTCATTTCTGATTCCTGGTCAACTGTTAATATGATGATGTTGCAAACCTCCAATTTTCAAAATTTCACACTTGTACTAAACTGATATATATTTTTTTAGAAGAGTTTTATAATTTTTTCCCAAAATGAATAAATATGTTTTATATTGCATAAAGTGTTAAGTAAACCATATTTGCCTGATGGTATTTAACCACAGAAGCCATAACCTAAATGTGATAACCCTTTCCACTGATTAATTGTTAGATAAATACAGCCAGTGATAGGCTTACAGATCCACAGGACATCGTTTGCCACTTGTAAAAATCCACTGACCAATGAATGAGGTCAGCATTTTTCAAATTGTTCTCATTTTCATTTCATTCCTTTTCAACACCTCTGACAAGTCACCAGACACCAACGTTTAGAAAGTGGACGAAGAATGACCAGTGACAGGTTATTAAGATATCAGCTTGGTCAACAATCAGACAAAGTAATCTGATAAAATCTTCCTAATGGTTTTATTCTATTCTGATTTGGCCACCCTCAGGACAAAAATCTTGACCATCCTTCAGATAAGGTGCATATTAGTTACAAAGGTACAAATTGACTACAACAAGTCAGTGACAGGAGCTGTAGGCATTTTGTTATCTACATCATAAGTCTCATCAATATACCTGTGTCATAAAACTCCCAAAGACCCATATGCTGGTTACAGGTATGTGACACTGGGTTCAGATGTTTACAAACTCCTTCAACACAAAATTTTGTAACGAAGACTAGTTTTCTGTTTTTATTTCAATTCAGTTTCATTAAACTTTCTTTTGAAATAAATATTTTCATTACTGAATCAACTTTTGACTTGAAATAGCAAAGGTGAGTGAAACCAGCTCAAATAACTAGTAACAAATAAGAATTAGTGGCAAATATTCATACTAAAGTTATGGTAATTATTATCAAAATGAAAATTAAATTTCGAAGTAATTGTAAATTATGTACATCAAGCTAAAACACACTGACATTATCATATACTTTCGGGTACTATTGAGTACATGAGTTGCATTTATTCACACTCTTTATGGAGATACAAAACAATTTTGTCTTTTCCGGAAAAAGAGAAATCAGCTAGAGACATTGCTGTTCATTATTATCATAAACAATTTCACTGTAGACAATCGCTGTAAGTAATTCCTTACCCCTAACATGGGACAATGTGATGGGATGTATATAGTAAAAGATGTTAGAATATTGATATCAGAGCTTTCCTGAAACTTTGTTAGACATTGCAACGTTATTCAATATTGCTTTTATGTCACATCAGGTCCAGTCAACCCAGATGTAAAATTGGGTATTTCATTTACTGGGAAGTAGGTTTGGTAGTGTTAAGGTATGTATATACTATTATTTGGAGTGCTAATACTGAATGTAATTATTTTGTACGCATTAGCAATTTTTGATTGATGTTAATGTATATTTAGGAAAGTGTTTCAAAGTAAGGGAGCTAAATGGTTGACATATGAATTCAAACGTAATTCATTCAGCAAGACATTTCGTGACAGGGTGATGTCCGAAACTGACCCACCAGTGGCCTCACTGGACACAGCATACTGGTCAAAGCAAATGCAGACTCATTATTGACCTGTAAACAATGGACATAGCTTAGGATCACTGATTAAAATGGCCGAGACTGACCAATGGACATGCAGCTGTTGTCAAAGATGTTAATGTAGGAATTCATTATCATACAAATGAGGAGGATCACTTTGAATTGTACACATCAAGGTCAAAGACTATCATTTATCACGTTATTTTGTGACAGATTTATTTCAAGTTATCAGGAGAATAGTTCACAATTGAAACTTGAGAATATTACATTACATGGTATATCACCATTTTCTACCAGAATTTTTAACATTTTAATTTGTCAAACAATTATTTCCAATTATCTTGGACTGCATGCATTGAACACACTGCATTTTTTTCTCCAGTTAATTAAAAAAAAATGTCTAAATCTGATGTTTTTTAAAAATATATATATAGGTACCACCTGTGTAATATTTGTCACCGAGATCAATGACTTGAGCTGCTTTCACTATACGATACAATACAACTGTTAGAGGTATGATAAAGACATGTATACACAGCTCTACCCAAAACAAGGTTTACATTTCCACAGACGTACATACCCTGTATATATACATGTATGTGTATATAAGTAGTCAATATTTATACTGAACCCTTGACCTAAATCTGGTAGTGAAAAGGCATTCCCATCCGATTTTTTAAAAGACAAATCTCTATCATGCCAGAGAACATATATTTATCTTTACATAAAATATTTATCCAATAAACTCGAATACCTAAATACAAAACTGGTTTTTTTCTTTTTTTTTGAAAGTTACGGAAATTGTTTTACAATATAGGTATATAAAAGTACATATCTACATGGCATGTATTTGGTCTGTCTAACATCTAAACCAATACAGGTTAACAAAAGTTTTCATGCACATACCTCACTGCTCTCTATATAATGTCACTTTGAATTTTTAACTTGAGTGTCCACTCTCTCTCTGATACACATTTAATCCATGATAGTGAATTGTCACAGAGGAAAACAGTTCCTTACTGGACACAAGGAGGAGGAGTGTGTCGGAAGACTTGTACCTGACCACACCTATCAACCTCAGATGATTGCTGACACTCGGAGATAAGGAATGTGTTCACGTATATCTTACACCTAATCAGCGAGCAGTGGAGCATGACCAATCACTCAACTGTACATACATACATATATATATTTATACAGGTATATCCTCTACCTGTAGGTCAGTGCCACCACCCCTCTGGGCACCCGGGAGCAATCTTACACACTGTTACACAAGTAAACACTTTCTGGGAGAGTGGACATGCTTAGACCATACAAATTGTGTAACACAACACCAGGTAAACATGACAGAACATTACTTGTCACCTCAGAGTCAGGGGAGGTAATGAATTATTAATATACACCTGTACAGGTAGACAGATTAGTAGAACATTACATAAGGAAACCGTCACATGCTTGTTGTGTCTAAGCCAGTAAAATGTCAATCTAGATAGCTTTAGGAAAACGAAGTGTAAGAAAATTGCCATGCCATGAATAGCTGCACTCTGAGTCAAATACACTATTGAAGATCCAATTAAGATTGCACAATACATATTAAATGAAAATGTTAACCCTGATATATTTATCCAAGAACTTTGGTGGGGGGTTGGTTACATTGATACTAAGAGACATGCATGCTTTCAGTCTGGTTTGCATTAAGACTGTAGGGAGGACAACAGCAGAACAGAGGACGAGTTTCACAGTTAATGTCTTCAACACTGTTCCCTCCCTCCTCCAGACAAGTTTGTATAGCCCTGTAGCTCCAAGCAGGTAGTAATGGTTGGGCTAACAGTGTCCGATGAAGACAGGGTAGAGAAGGTAAATAAGGAGTGACAGAAGCATTGATGGGGCAGCAAGCAGACAGGCAGAGGTCACTGGATATGGAGGAAGAGGGAAGAACTGTGGGGTGATCACGAGACAGTGCTAGGCACAAGGTGATACAAGACATCGAGGCATCACAGGCTGCTGCAACAACAACAAACTGCCTACAGACTCGACCATTTTCTGGTTGAGCCTCATCAACCTAGTCGGTGTACCTCAGGAGGACATGATGTAAAACCTCAGAACATCTAGGGAAAAAGGATCCTCCTGATGACTGGACATTATATACACCCGACTAAACAGGTTCAGTTTAGACAAGTTTGAAAGATGCTTGCTTATAAAGCACATTGCAAGTTAAAACATATTGTCAAGAAATTATATCAGCATGATAGACAAGAGTTACTTCCCTTGTATACAATTAAGAGCATTACATTAATATTCATAACGAGATATGAATGCCACTTATCTATATCATGTGTCAGTATATTAGTGAAAATTTATGACCATGTGGGGTTAACCTGCTGAGGGCCTTCAGCAGTTAACATTTCCGTGTGACAGCACTATAAAGTGGAAATCAGTTCTTACATAGTAAAACTATTGCAAAGAGGCTACCACAATCATATTACATCTTGCCATAGACACATTTGCTCACCTTACATACACAGGCAGTTTTGACCTGATACGACCCAAGACGCACGTAAAGCAAAACAAAATCTTGCTCCCTTCCTACCCCTCAAACAATGCCAGAAAGACTATTACAAGCTCGTTTCAAGGATGTATATCATTTGCATTCATAAAAGTGTCATGTCAAAGAAGTTTCTTCAATACAAAATATTACAACTTTTTAAATAAATTTTGTGCGTTAAAAGAAAAGGAAACAAACAAAACTGTACCAAACTGACTCCACAAAACAGCTACTTACTCCTGGTGATGAGGTTAATTTCATTGCTTCCCAGTTCCCCTACTGTCCTTGACATGTCCACCATACCCTGTGGGTCCCCAGGGAGCTGGAATATGTAACGTGTAGGGTCTAGACGCTTCTCCACACAGATCTGACGATGGACTGTCTCCAGAGGCGTCGTCTGGCTGATGCGTAGAACCTTTTTCTGACTCTGGGGCAGGTTCACCGTAAATCGGTACGTCATCTGCAGATATAGAACGGAGACGTGAAAATGAAACAATCTTATTCAATAAATTTCACACGTCTGTTTTAATGGTAAACAATGGCTTGTGTGAAATTAAATAAGACAACCAGCAATACCAGTTGGAACTAGCCTTTTGGCAACACTTCCTATTTGTAAAAAAAAAAAAAAAAAAGAACTGTTAATGACATTTTGACTATTTTGTTCCTAAATTCAACAATTTTTAAAACAAAAAATCTGAAATACCTTTTAATACAGTTTGATATCTAAAAGAAGATCTTTATTTATTGTATCAAAAGGTGTTAAAGTGGAAAGATTTTATAATCACAGTGAAAGGAGGAAATATTGCCAGGACAATTTGATAACTGAAGTCTGCACACGGACCTGTGTTCGATCAATTACTTGCCTAGGGTTAAAATCTTCAGAATTAATATTCCAGTGAGATGTAATAAGAATTCCTAAAAGCATTATATCGCAGATTGTTTATGTAAATTCCATTGTGTCAAGACTTTGTTTTTTCAAGTTTGCGATGCTTGAAGGTCCTAACGAAATATAAACAGATGTGTAACCGCTGTTACATGTAATACAACTGTCTCGCATGACATTATGTCTACTTCCTCCCTGTAAAACATAAAGAGAAAACTCCATTTCCGTTCATAAGATACAAGGATTCCACTATGACATTTCGGTGCTCAGTGTATACAAACATCACCTGTCCACACTTAAGTATACAGTAGAGTGTAGAACATTACAATTACTGATGAAGATTGTGTGTATTTTTGTAAGTTAGTTTTTAGAAACATCATAAATTGAGATTCTGGTCATGAGAGCAACCCCCTTCCCCTCCATAAAAAACAATACAAAGGTTTGGATTTTAAATAAATATGTGTTGTGATTCCTTTTTTTGGGTGGCAGCTGACACAGAATTGCAGGGATATTTCAGCAGATTTTTTTTTATTGACATCCTATTAACTGGTGGAGGAGTATTTCTGCTTAATATTGGTCTGTAAATCACACAATTTTGAAAATTGAATAAATATTTCAGAGCAAGCTATAAATGGCCTTCTAATAGCAATGTGTTTCATGCTAGGTATTTAATTAAATGTTGAAAGAATAAAATAACGAGAAATCTAGGCCATTTAAACTTGTATGAAAGGCTATACAATGAATCTCCAAAAAAAAGAGTGTACTTGGTCCATCTCACCTCACACTTACCCCACCTCACCTCTAGCCTTAACACAACAGAATTAGAAATTGAATCCAATTTACACATGTAGTGAACCATTCTGAACAGACACAAAGAAATTGTAAAAGGGAACATTATACTTGGAGTAAAAATGCTTTACTAATCTTGTACTTATCAAATTAGTGCTAACTCCTGGCACCAGCACAAGGTCATATTATAGGTACGACTTAATTATGATTAATGGTAAAGTTAAAAAAAAAAAAACTGGAACCAGATCCTTGAACTTGTGACATCTAACCCTGAACCAGTTCAGAAAAAGACTGTGCAACAACTGGAAATACCAAGAAATTAAATTCCAACCAAACTGCTATATTCTCCTAACCATGCAGAGATTTAAGGAAAATTTGTGATTGGGTAAGAGAGGCCTACAATGGCCCAATAACAGCCACACTCATACTGTTTCTTTCACTAATATGAAAGGTCAGTAATTAGTTAAACTCATTGAAGAAATATCCCTCCTCTCCTCTCCAGAAAAGTTACTTATACTTTTTATACTTGGTATACCAGCTGAAATTCATTGGGAAAAAATGAAATTACCGCAGGTATCGTATCTGGCTAATAAGCCCATACTCTTGACTTTGGGTTAGAATGTGTTTTGGCCCACAGGTTTTACCGCAGTATAAATAGAGACAAAAACATTTTAGGAAATTGTACAAGACATTAAAAAGATATGTGTTGGTTTATTTCTTCATGAAGTTAAAAACAGTAACAGATGGTGAATCAATAGATAATGGACTCGAACCTAGGGTCCTTTTTAGTGAAAACCTTGTGCAGGATCACAACAGACAGAGAGGATAAGGGGAGACATTATCAGCAGCTAACACAACACATATGTAGACACTTACTGCATGCAGGGGCTGATAATGGAGGATATAGGAATCTATATAGATAACATCCTCCCACACACAATAACATATATACTACCACACCGCCTTCACAGTGTCCCAAACAACTTTCCCCTCCCCACTCCACTGTGTCCTGCCATCCATGACCTCCCCAATGCCTCGGGCTGTTCTGGTATGTCAATTAACACCTACACATCTATCAGGCCCTACCATTCCATTCCCTTTCCCCACTTCTAGGGCCCCTCCACTATTCCCTGTCACACACTCCTTCCCTACTTCTAGGGCCCCTCCACTATTCCCCGTCACACATTCCTTCCCCACTTCTAGGGCCCCTCCACTATTCCCCGTCACACACTCCTTCCTCACTTCTAGGGCCCCTCCACTATTCCCTACCACACACTCCTTCCCCACTTCTAGGACCCCTCCCTTATTCCGCATCACACACACACAACCATCCAATCAATCAACTAAATCAAGGACCCCTCCACTGTTCCCTGCCACCCACTCTGCGTACACTCCTAAAACAGCCCCTCTATTTTGTTTTTTCCGACATCAATTCCAAATCCCTCAGTCTACAGAATTTCCAGCTGACGTTTTCTGTTCCATGTTTCTATCCAAACTATTCCAAAACTTATCCACCTTCAGCATTTTTTTTCAAACTCTGATTTGTTTGATATTTATTAAGCAAAAGATGTGAGAAAGAAATACAAAATATAAACCTATGATATTGTGCATCAACACCTGTCCGAGATCAGTGTTCAATATATATATATATATAGCTTATCTATATGCAGAACCTTGTTAAAATATAACTGTTAAGATATTTTTCGTAAAATATTAATTCCCGAGTACCTGTTATTTAGTGTAATGTACTTAATTTGGCACAGTCAAATTTCCAGTGCATCATTACTTTTTGAAATAAATACAATAATAGATTGTCCTAATTTCTATGTACATATCATAAACAGCTGCAATAAACACAACCATATTTCAGCACAATACTTGTGAGAAATGCTAAAATAAGACAAGCTCTTAAATATATATCATTTTAGTAGTTTCCTTTTAAGGGGAAAAGAATAATAATAATGATTTTGTTGAAAAATTAAAAGTCTTTAATTGCTCGAATTAAATGCCCATTCATTAAAATACAAGTAGATTTATGATGGTTGAATGTTAGCCTACTCAATTGGAAATCTTTAAGGTCAGCAAAACATTGGAGTATTCAGGGATGGAGAATACACAAAAGACTTTCAAGTATTTCAGCATAGCAAACAAAGCAGCCTAGTTTACTGAATATAAGTAGAAACCAGAGCGGTTGAAGGTTTTTATGAATGGACAATACAGATATGTTAAGTGCCAAAAGGATCTCTTATAGAGGGGCCTTGTAATCCAGGTTAAAGACAAGACTGTTCCATATAGACATCTGTACTGTAGGATATATAACATATACAATAAGCTGATTGAACAGGTTGTAAAAATATGCCTAGAACATTATTGTATTTGTATTCATACACAGGCAGGGTTTTAAGGTCACGGACAGCGATTTAAATCTTCAAAGTGGCATATAGGTTAAGAACTCTTTATAAAATACAGATAACGAACAAAAATATTCCAGACAGTTAGGACATATTTCTAGAGAATCTTAAACTATTTTATAAAGATTATAAAGTACCTGAAAAAATTAAAATTTTCTTTAACTATCTCATACAATTTCAGATATATTTTTTTGGGTCAGTGCTTAATTTAAATTTCAAATTTGAAAACTATTTTTGAAATGGAACAAGTTTTTTTTCTTTTCAATAATGGTGAGCATTCATTCAAATGAATCAAGTTGATAATAAATTCAAAAATTGCAAAGAAGAAGAAATCTATTTTAATTCCACAACTTTTGTGACATAACAAATTATCATCATTTATTTCACCTGCTGACCTAGATATTTAGCAGGTGGCTCACGAGAAGTGTCGACCGAGAAATTTCGAAAGATTGAATTATTTTTAATCTATAGACCAGAAACATGTTGGTGATTACCGATGTGATACTTGTGACATACAACCGAGATACAACACCACTGGATCAATAGACAGATGATTATACATCCATCAATCTTCACACCTGTCCGACAACAAGATGATATCCACAGGGTTTTACACTTCCCCTGACCTCATCATACCAAACTTTACTCCTGTCTGTTAAGATATGCGGTTTCCAGGTAGAACATTCTGACAAAATATCTGTCAAGATTCCTTAATGATATGTAGTTCTGAGGTACAAAATGAAATCTGTTTCTACGGAAACCTGACTAAAAAGATATCCTGTCAAATTTGAAGTTCAAGAGAGTGAAACCTGAGTTTACCGACACCTGTGTTTAAGGTTATCCAGCAGGATTTGATACGCGAGATACCAGGTATAGTGAAACATGAGTTCACGAACACCTGACTATAAAGGACAGCTGTAGAATTTGGTATGCAAAGATGTCATATACCATGAAACTCGAGCTTACCTACACCTGGCTAAGGACATTCTGTAAGATTTCACATGCAAGATATCGGGTACAGTGAAACCTAATTTTCACGATTCCAAAGTTTACTGATGTTGAAATATTGAGCATACAAAAAAAAAACACATGAGAATACTGACATATCAACAGGATTATTCTTCACACTCTAAATCATGGAAACAATGCCAAATAACCAGCAAAAAAATTGCATGGAGACCAGTAAAAAGGTGGCAATTAGGGAAGACAGCTTCTAGGACAAGTGCATTAATTAAAGGCAGGCAAAGAAGCAATCAAAAGAAAGGTGCATGGGCTCATGAAAAGGCAATTTTGAAAATGGTGGTCTCTTAAAATAACGATATTGAATAACAATGGATTCTAAAAATAGCTGGAAACCGGGTCACTAACAAAGGTAGT